CCAACCTGTGTTCCACCACCACTCGGCGCGCTCGATATTCGTCATACCCGGCGCTCTGTTGCAAGGCCCTGGCCTGCTGCAACAGGGCTTCCTGGGGATGGATCAGCACCCACCGTCCCTTCCTGCCTTTGGCCGAGATGCACTGGGACCGCAGTGGACATGTCATACATTCGGACCCGTCGAACTGGAAGGCCCGCAAGCGGTGGACCCGACCCGCGGCATCCGTACGCCGTCCCGCCGACACGATGTTGTGGGTGACCTGCCCCGCCGGACAGGTGCAACTGCCCGCCGCTAGGTCGATGACAAAGTCATCCTTGGGAAAGCGCTGCCGGTCGGGGCGGCCCGGCACCCGGGCTACCAGCTTGCGGCCCGCATCGGCGAAGGCTTGGCGGGTCCCGCCGTCCCCATAGGCGGCGTCGCCCATGGCCTCCTGCACCGGCACACCGGTGTTGGCCTCGCTCTGCTCCACCAGCTCCAGCGCCCCCAGGTTGTCCGGAGCGTCGCCCGGCAACACCTCCACGGCGGTGATCAGCTGGGTGTCGGTGTCCACGGCGATGGCCGCCTTGTGTCCGTCGAAGCGTCTCCTGCTGCTCTTGTGCCCGTGGCGCATCTCCGGGTCATGCACCGGCACCATCCGGTCCTTGCTCACCCCACCCTTGAGGTTCACGCCGTCATCGCCGTCGCCACCCTTGCGCTCAATGTCCTGGAACAGCAACTCCGCCCCAGCCACTATCTGCTGCTGCCCGGCGCTGTCCTCCGCCAATTTCCCCTGCGCCTGCCGCGATAACTCCAGGAGCCGGTCCGCGTCTCCCACAATCCCGGCCAGCAGAGCCTTCCGCGCCCGCTTGTCGGACCAGTCGATGGCAGCCTCGCCCTTGATGCTGGAGGCAGGTACCGCCCGTATCCCCGAGCCTTGGCCCATTTCCCGACGCTGATTCCCTCAACCTGCGCCAGCGCCCGCAGCAGCTTGACGATCCCGTCGGCCAGCAGATTGTATGTGGCCCTCACCGCGCCCCCGGCCCAGGATGTTGGTCGTGTCCAGCGCCACCTTCATGCTGCGCTTCTTCAGGTAGCCCGACTCCCGGGCGAGGCGCAGGCTGGACTCGAATACCTCCCGCACCCTGTCGTGCAGGATCAGCTGGGCGCGAAACACCTGGAGCGTACTCTTGGCGAAGGGCCTGTCCTCCACCTCAATCCCCAGAGCCACCTTCCAGCGAATGTCGAAGTCGGCCCGGGCCTTGGCCTCGGCGTCGCTGACCTTGTCGTGAGACTGCAACAGCAGCGCCGTGGCCAGCAGGCTGGGCGGCACGCTGTCCCGGCCGTTGTCGGCGCAGTAGAACTCGGCGAACTCGGCGTCCCGGAACAGCCGACCCCGCAGCGAGGCCAGCAGACCGTAGAACGTGTCCTTGCCCACGTGGTCCAGATACAGCCGATCCGCTTCCCACAGACCCCTCTGGTCCGAACGCTCTCCCAGCATTATCAGCCCTCGCTACACTTGTTGACGCCAAGTATAGCCACCGGCTGGCTGCCTCCACTTTCCGGCCAGATTTCTAGTACTACAACGACGAGTTGTTTGGTAGGATAGCTGGCCAGATGATGGTGGGGGTGTTTGGGTGATGGATGCGGCGAGCTTCAAGCGAGTCTACGACAGCTTTCAGGAATTTCACGCCTTTTTTGCGGACTCCTTCGGACGCAAGCAGTGGCGGGAGCACAGCCGGAACTATCTTCAAGCCCTGCTGGTGCAAGCCGGGGAGCGGCGCAACGCCGAGAATCTCTCCGAATCGGTGGGCATCTCCGCCCGGGCGATGCAGCGTTTTCTCACCGAGGCCCGGTGATCCGATGACGCAGTAATAGGGCGGTTGCAGGAATACCTGGCCCCCAGGCTGGAGCATCCCGAGGCCGTGTGGGTGTTCGACGGCAGCGACTTTCCCAAGCAGGGGAGGAAATCGGTGGGAGTGGCCCGGCAGTACTGCGGCAGGCTGGGGAAGGTGGCCAACTGCCAGGCCGGGATGTTCCTGGCCTACGTCAGCCCGCTGGGCCGGGCGTTGGTGGACAAACGGCTGTACCTGCCCCAGGTTTGGGCTTCGGACGATGCCCGGTGTCAGGCGGCGGGTGTGCCGGCGAGGAGACGCAGCTACCGTTCGAAGACGGAGTTGGCCTTGGAGATGCTGGCGCAGGCCATGGAACTGGGCCATCTGGAGGCCGGGTGGGTTGCCGGAGATGACGCCTTCGGGATGTCGCCGTCCTTCCGGGAGGGACTGGCGGCCTTGGGTATGCGGTACGTGCTGGACGTTCCGGGCGGCACCACGGCCTGGCCTTTGGAGCCGGGTTGGACCAGTCCGGAATATCCAGGGTTCGGGCGCCCCCGCAAACCCAGGCTGCGGGATGGGCAGCGCCGGACCATGGAGCAGCGCAGTGATGAGTTGCCGGAGGAGGCCTGGCGGGAGATAACGGTGGCAGAGGGAAGCCAAGGGCCGCGCACCTACCGGTTCAGCGCCCAGCGGGTGCGGGTTACCAAGTGGCGCAAGCCCGGCGGAGGCGCAAGCCCGGCGAAATCCACTGGGCGGTCTACCGCCGGAATCTGGACGGCAGCGAACCTCGCTACTACCTGTCCAACGCACCCGAGGACACAACTTTGGAGACTCTGGCATACGTGGGCGGTTCCAGGTGGCGCATAGAAACGGAGTTCGAGACTGAAAAGGGCGACGTTGGGCTGGACGAATACGAGACCCGGAGCTGGGCAGGCTGGCATCACCACATAGCCATGTGCCTGCTGGGCGGAGCGTTCTTGCTGGGCCTGCAGCAGGATTGGGGGGGAAAATATGCCCCGGATCACCCGCCCGCAGGTGTACCGGGTGGTACGTGAGATGCTGCCCCGGGAGCGGTTCGGGCCCGATCAATTGCTGTTGTGGCTGGAGGATACGCAGCTACGCAACGAACGGGCGCGCCGCTCCCACGAGAGACGCCGCTCCGCCCGCTGTGAAGGCAGAATGGACCCTCCACCCTGAACTCGTCGTTGTAGTACTAGAAATCTGGCCGGAAACCCCGATTCTTCCCAAGCAGTCGTTTTCTTGCCGTCGATTATCGGTGAAACAGAGCGTGTTGCAACGTAATATATGCAGTATTGTGCCATATACGACTGTAATACGTCTGCTTGGCATAGCGAAAAACCCGGCCGATGGCTTCCCGGCCAGACTTCTAGGACGACTGTACAGCTATCGTCTGAGCCACGATGGCATTACGCACTGGAGAGCTCTCCCCTCCCCCCTCAGGGAGAGGGCTAAGGCGAGAGTGAAGTCTCCCGCTGCCTAGCTTCAATTCAGATCCAGTTAAAAGTCACCGGCAAGAGACTCTGTAGTAGGTTTGCACCGCCCGCTCTCGTTGACGGCAATGAGCAAGCAGTGGACAATTGCGCGCGTATCCTGGTTTACCGACTCTGGGTTGAACATGGAATCCGGCTCGAGCTTAGGCCGGTCACGGAATTTTGCGATATGTCCGGCGAATTTGCTGCACGGAGCGAAGATAACACCGCCGAGATAGTGGGGCGGACGATAGATGGGGCGTACGAGGATGTTCTCCGGGATCAACGGCTCCGGTCTGCCGAAGAGTTGATCGCCATGAACGTGGAAGTCCCGTCGGATCCTGCGGAACTGTCGCGCCGGTTGGCAACGGCTCATGACACTTGTGGCATTCGTTGACACTGACATCCCGAACCAGTCCATTCCTGTCCCCTAGGAACAACTCTCAATAAGGACCATCCATCGTGAAACTCACCGGCAGCTATCCGATAAACGCCCCCCGCGAGGCGGTGTGGGACGCGATCACAAACCCGCAGTCGCTGAAGGGCTGCATCCCCGGCTGCCAGCGGCTGGACGACGTGGGCGACGGAAACTACGAGGCCTCCATCAGCGCGGCACTGGGGCCGGTGCGGGGGAGCTTCAGCGCCAAGGTGTCGCTCAGGGACTGGAACCCCCACGAGTCCTATCGCCTGGTCGTGTCGGCCACCGGTACACCGGGATTCGTCAATGGGGAGTCCTTCATCACGCTGGCCGAGGAGGGAGGCGTCACCACAGTCTCCGTCGACGGCGACGGCCAGGCCGGCGGCCTGCTGGCCAGAGTGGGACAGCGTATGATGGAAAGCGTGGCCCGCAACATGATGGACCGCTTCTTCAACTGCCTCGCCGAATCCGCGACGAAGAGTTGATTCCGCAGCATACATAGATGACCCACAGATGACCTAGGAGGTTCCCGATGGAACGCAGAGTCCCCACCAAGGACGAGGTGCTGGCTTATCTAAAGGAAGACCGCAACTGGGGCCGCTGGGGCGACGACGACCAGCTGGGCGCAGTCAACATGATCACCCAGGAGAAGCGCGTCGAGGCCGCCGGGATGGTCAAGACGGGCCGGGCCATATCTCTGAGCCGGGAGTTCCCGTCCATTCCCGCCCCCAACAACCCGACTCCGGCCATTCACTACATGAAGAAGGTGTATCGCAGCCCCACCTCCGGGTTCTCCGCCGACTACTACGGCATCTCCTACCACGGCACGGCCACCACGCACCTGGACGCCCTGTGCCACGTCTGGGACGAGAACGGCATGTGGAACGGCCGCAACCCCGATGAGCAGATCACCATGGACGGCGCCCAGTGGGGTGCGGTACACCACTGGAAGGAGGGGCTGATCACCCGTGGAGTGCTGCTGGATGTGCCCAAGCACCGGGGCGGCGCCTACGTCACCATGGACACGCCCATCCACGGCTGGGAGCTGGAGGACATCGTCAAGGAGCAGGGCGTCGAGATGCGCCCAGGCGACGCGCTGCTGGTCTACGGCGGCCGCGAGATCTGGAACGCCGACGGCAACCCCATCTGGGGCAGCGACCCCCTGGCGCGCCCCGGCCTACACATGAGTTGCCTGCGGTTCATCCGGGAGTCGGACATCTGCCTGCTGGGCTGGGACATGATGGACCACACGCCCAACGGATACGACCTCTCGTGGGCGGTGCACGGCTCCATCTTCGCCTACGGCATCGGCCTGCTGGACAATGCGTTGCTGCAGCCGCTGGCGGAGGCCTGCGCCGAGGAGGGCCGCTCCGAGTTCATGATCACCATCAACCCGCTGCGGGTTGTGGGCGGCACCGGATCGCCGGTCAACCCTGTCGCCATCCTGTAACCTCTATCCCGTGACGCGCATCCCGTGACGCGAACAGGGGCAGGATTCGAGCCTGCCCCTGTTGTATTTGCGCGCCTGATGGACCTACGTCTTTTCTTCGTCGCCCGAGCTGTAGATCGAGTTTTCGAACGCGCGCACCTCGTGGCAGTTACGGCACTCGCCGCGGCTGAAGCGGCCGTTGGCCGGCTCGATCACCCAGTGGTGCCGACACACCGGCGCCTCCTCCACCGCTACCGCGCCCTGCGTCTGTTCCAGGACCATTGCTTCACCTCCTCATACCCACTTCGCAGAATAGAAAAATAATGCTGGACGGGACGTTGCCAATTGGCAAGTCCCGTCCAGCAAAAGCTATCCCTTGGCGGAGGTGACAGTCAATAATTTTGGTGATAGTTTCGAAATATTTTCGAAACCTTGTTGAGATGTACCCTCCGCGCAGCTAGGCAACCAGCACGAGTTCAGCCTCCCCTGGAGGGCCGGCAGCGAGAACAGCGGCCTCCACGCCCTCATCCCGGGCGGGTTCGGCCTCGACCGGAAAATTCCCCCCGCACTGGACGCAGTTGAGGTAAGCCCCGTAGATGTCCTCGCCTATGAACAGGTCTCCGTGGCACTTTGGGCAACCGCGCAGTTTGAACATGAAGTATCCTCCTGTTTATTTTGACGGCTTCGATTTGATCACCGGGCAAGGATAATACAGCCCGCAATCTTACTACAGTATTACGAATTGCATCTATAATTTTCCAGCCTTGCCGATGTCGGATTTGGGCCGTAGAATTCCGGAAAGCTGTAAGATCCCGGCCTGCTCCCATTTTGTAGAGGCAAGCCCAGACAGGAGAACGCCATGGCAGGACTGAACCATCCTTTGGAGAACGTCAGAGTCATCGACCTGGGGCGCCACCAGGCAGGGCCCCGGTGCGCCCTGGTCCTGGCACGCATGGGCGCCGAGGTCATCAAGGTGCGAACGCCTGGGCGGCGAGAGACCGCTAAACCACGGCCCCTGGGTCAGAAGCAGTCCTCCTACTGGGTCAGTACAACTCCGGCAAGAGTCCCTCTCCATCGACCCTCCGCAAGGAGGAGGGCAAGGAGGTCCTCCGGGAGCTGGTCAAGGTCTCCGACGTGGTGGTGCAGAACTTCAGGCCCGGCACCATCGAGAATATGGGCTTCGGCTACGACGTCCTGAAGGAACTGAACGATCATCATGGTCAACGTCTCGGCCTACGGGCAGTTCGGGCCGTACAAGGACAAACATCGGCTACGACCGGCCATCGGCCAGACCATGTCGGGGAACGATTGGTCCCGGCGAGGAGGGGATGGCCGCCCATCAGGACAGGCGTGCCGATCATCGACCGATCACGGCATTGCACAGCGGGCCATCGGGACGCTGGCGGCGCGTCTGCACGAGCGGGAGGTCTCGGCGAGGGGCAGTCTATGGACGTCTGCCTGGCGGACACGGGTACTCATGACCGAGATACCCATCACGAGCGTACACGGGCACCAAGATACCGCCCAAGCGTGCGAGTCGACAGCGCCGCCCTCGGAATCTACCGTGCAAGGAGGGCCTGGTCCTGTATATCGGCAGGCGACCATCACCACTGGCACCGGGTGTGCAACGCGCTGGGCAGGCCGGAGTGGCTGGAGGACCCGCGTTCAACACGAGGCACGAGCGGGCTGGCCATGCTGAGGCTGGTGAACGCGGCTATCCGGGAGCTATGGCCGACCGGACCATGAGCAGGCCATCGCGCATTTCACGGACCACGACGTGGTGGCGGCGCCGGTGAACACGATACCGCAGGCGGCGGAGGACCCTCACCCGTGGGAGCGTCGGGCGATGGTTGAGGTGCCGGACTTCCTGGCCGGTGAGATCGCGGTGTCGGGCGACTACTGGCACTTCTCGCGCACTCCGGTGAACATAGGGAGTACGCCGCAGGTGGGGGAGCACAACGAGGAGGTGCTGCAGGGCATCCTGGGATACAGCGAGGAAAAGGTCGAGGAGTTCCGCCAAGGCCGCGTCATCTCCGAGGAACACTACTACGACGACATACCCGGATAGCCCGAGCCTCCACGGTAACCACTGATCCAACCTTTCCGGGGGCGCGCGGTTGTGCGCCCCTGTTGTCATGGGGGAATCGGTCAATTGTCCCAGAACGACAGGGCAATCGCGTCTTATTACTCAGCACACAAAATTGGTCTGAATGGCGGTGGAGATGGGAGTGGCAGTGCCTCCTTCGGTTCCGCGTGCGAGGGTAGACGGGGGTTTGGATTCCCGCTTTCGCGGGAATGACGACCAATAGGGCCTGCAGCGTTTAAGACGCGATTGCCCTGCCAGAACGACCAGAGGTTTGACCTTCCAAGGCCATTGTGCTAGTCTCCCGTTCGCTCTAGAATGTCCGGCAATAGTTTTATCCAGATTTCTCTAGATTTTCGACGGGTTGCAGGCAGTGGCAGACATCAGTTCCACTAACGGGATCCCCAAAGGCAATGGCGACTGGCTTTCGCTGCGGGACGCCTGCCGCCTTCTCGATGTGAGCGATACCACGCTGCGCCAGTGGGCCGACGCCGGCCATCTGCGGGTGTACCGCACCCCGGGTGGACACCGCCGCTTCCTTCGCCAGGACGTGGAGTCGCTGACCAGTTCCCCGAAGCCGACGCCTGAACCCGCCCGCGAAGACTCCCTCGAGGGCCCGGCGCTGCGTCGCATACGCCGCCGACTGACGCAGGACAGCGTAACTCAGCAACCCTGGTTCCAGGCGGTGGAAGCGGAAGGACACGACCGCATGCGCCTCTTTGGCCGCCGATTGCTCTCGCTGCTGATGCAGGAGACCGGAAGGCGCCGCCACCGCCAGGAACTGCTATCCGAGGCGCGCATGCTGGGTCAGGAATACGGTTCCGAGATGATGGAGCGAAACGTGGCTCTCACCGACTCAGTGGAAGCGTTCATTTTCTTTCGGACCATGGTGCTGGACAGCGCTCCGGCCGCTTCGTGGTCGCGAATTCTGGAGACCTCCGACCGTGTGTTGACGGGTCTCTGCGCGTCATATCAGCAGTCTGGCACTCCACGGTAGTCAGCCCCACGCTCAGCCTTATTGATCAAACTAACGTCCGAGGGTATGGCAATGGACATGATTGACCGCAAGCTTCTCAACCTGATCCAGGGTCCCTTCCCCATGGTTGAGAAACCCTACCTGGACCTGGCGGAACAACTGGAAACCACTGAAGACGACGTACTGGCACGGCTCACCGACCTGAAGAGGCAGAACGTCCTCCGTCAGATCAGCGCCATCTTCGACACCCGGCGCCTGGGCTACAAGACCACCCTGGTGGCCATGGCCTTCGAGCCGGAAAAGCTGCACCGCGCGGCAATGGAAATAAACCGCCACCCCGGCGTCAGCCATAACTACGCCCGCGAGGGCTCCTACTACAACCTGTGGTTCACCCTCGCAGTGCCGCCGGAGCATGACCTGGAGGCCACGGCGAACCACATGGGCCGCAAGACCGGGGCCGTGGAGTCCCGGGATCATGCCGACCATCCGGTTCTTCAAGATCGGCGTGAATTTCGACATGGTGAACCAGCAAGGCTCGTCGTTTAACTTCAGGCCCGACGGGTTCGACAAGTCTGAGGCCGACAGCTGGAACAAACCGCAGCCGGTCACCGACTGGGAAAAGGACGCCATCCGCGGAATGCAGGAGGACCTGCCGCTGGTCTCCCGTCCCTTCGACCCCGTCGCAGAAAAGCTCGGCATCACCACGGCGGAACTGTTTGCGCTGGCGGAGAATTTCCAGGAGCGCCGCATCATGCGCCGCTATAGCGCGGTGCTGCACCACCGCCGCTCCGGGTTCCGCTCCAACGCCATGATCGTCTGGAAGGTACCGCCGGAACGCTCCGAGGAAGTGGGCAGTATCATGGCCGGCCACAAGGCGGTCACCCATTGCTACGAGAGGCCCACCTTCCCCGACTGGCCCTACACCCACTTCACCATGGTGCATGCCACCACGCCGGAGGGCTGCGAGCAGTACAGCCAGGAGATCTCGGAGGCCACCGGCATCACCGAGCGCCTCGCTCTCTACAGCTCACGAGAATACAAGAAGACGAGGGTGCGCTATTTCGTCCCCGACTACGACGAGTACTTGGCGTCCGAGTCACTCGTAGACCTCGATTCCGTGGAAATGGACGAGGAGGAATTCGAGGAAATGGCTCCCTTGGCCTCTTCCGATGACTAGGTCAGCCGACCCGGCGGGCAAACCCTCACCATCCCCTGGAGAGAGGCGGAAACCGGGACAGAGGCAAATGACCACCTACTATCCCGTCTACCTCAACCTGCGAGGCCGCCGCTGCGTCATCGTCGGCGGCGGGACCGTGGCCGAGGGAAAGATCACCCGGCTGCTGGACTCCGGCGCGGACATATGCGTCGTCAGTCCCGATGCGACACCTGGCATCCGGCAGTTCGTCGCCGGCGGCTCCGTGCGCTGGGAGCAACGCGAGTACCGGCACGGCGACCTGGATGGCGCGTTCATTGCCATCGCGGCCACCAACGTTCGCGAGGTCAACCGAAGGATCTTCGAGGAAGCGGAGCAGCGCGGGGTAATGCTCAACGCTGTCGACGACCCGCCAAACTGCAGCTTCATCGCCCCGTCCATCGTGCAGCGCGGACCGGTCACGCTTGCCATCTCCACCGGCGGCGTCTCTCCCGCATTGGCCCGCAAACTCCGGGAGTCGCTGCAGACCTCCGAGGCCCTCGGCTGGGCCGAGCTCTCCAGCATCATGGCCGTTGCCCGTTCCCACCTGCGGGAGACGGGGATGCTCGCCAGCATTGACCCCCAACGCTGGCAGTGCTGCATCACTCCAGACCTGCTCGCGATGGTACAGGACGGGCGGCAGGTCGAGGCGACAGAGTCGCTGCTGGCGGGACTGACCGGCGACGACGGCCGGGGCCTGTGTGACACCACTTCGCAGTGCGAGCCGGGTGGATGCCGGTTGTCCTGCGACAGGACACACTCATGACCTCGAGCCGTCCCATCCGCGTCGGCAGCCGGGGCAGCCCCCTGGCCCTGATCCAGGACGAAGAGGCCATCGCGCAGCTCAAAACCCGCCACCCCGGCCTGGAGTTCGAGGTCGTCGTGGTACGCACCAGCGGAGACGCTAACCAGACATCGCCCCTGGCAGGCATGGGCCTGGGCGTGTTCGTCAGCGAGCTCGAAGAGCGGCTGTTTTCCGGTGACCTGGACATGGCTGTGCACAGCCTCAAGACCGTGCCGACCAGCTGGGTCCTCATGACGGCTGGCGCCTGGCGCTATCATGGATGGGTTGCGTCGCGACGACGAGGTGCTGGTCACCGCTGGACTGCTCAGCGACTAGCGCGATGCGCCGACGGTGTGGCGCGAATCGGCACCAGCAGTCCCCGGCGCGCCGCCCAGTTGCGCCGCTACGTCCCCAACGTCGAGGTCGTGCCCATACGCGGCAACGTTGAGACGCGCCTGCGCAAGGCCGGGGGAGACGAGGCCGACGGCGCTGTTCTCGCCGCCGCTGGACTGGCCCGCCTGGGAATGGACGACCGGGTGGCCGAATACCTGTCGCCGCAGCGCTTCGTGCCGCCGCCGGGGCAGGGAGCGCTGGCCGTGGAGATACGAGCCGACGACCGCCGGATGATGGACATTCTGAAAGGCATTGAGCACCCCGCCACTCGATACGAGGTCACCGCCGAGCGGGCCTTCCTGGAAACTCTCGGAGTTGGATGCTCGCTCCCGGTGGGCGCCTACGCCCGCTGCATGGGCCACGAACTGCTGATGACAGTCTTCCTCAGCAATCCCGAGGGGTCCCGTACCTTTACCGCCAAGGTCGACGGCCTGAAGCACGACCCCAGGCAGCTCGCCGGCGACGCCTACCTTGCGGTAGCCGAGCGCGGCGGCGCCGACTTGCTCCAGGACGCCCGCCAGCCGCAGGGGCCCCCAGCGACTGAGAATCTGTAACGGCCGAGGAAAAGACACAGGCTGGTCCTTGAGCACTCAGAAAGCGCATGAGAATGAGAGGAAGCATCTAGCTTCCCCACATCACCCCGTCTTTGACCGCAGGGCGCTGCAGGTGGGGCGGTTCGTGCTTGCGGAAACCGGCGCGGACGACGTCATCCTCTTCGGCTCTCGCGCTCGTGGTGACTACCGAGACGATTCGGACATCGACCTGTTGCTGATTCATTCCTGCCCCAATGACCACGAGTCGCGGGTAAAGGCCAAAGACTCGGCCAAGGCGACAGCGGCGGTCCTCTATGGAAGTCTCGTGGGAGTAGATCTGGTCTGGTTCTCGCGCAAGGAATTTGACCAGATGCGCCGCAGCCACAATCACGTTACGGCGATAGCGGCACAAGAGGGAATTTCTATGGAAGGTTGTCCTGCAGGAGATGAATACCGAAACGATACCGAAGACTTCTCCGGTGAGTTGGACATCACCGAGCAACGCTGCTATCATGCCCGCGCTCATTTGCGTATGCTGCGCCGTACCGTCGCAGACGAAGAGATCATGCTCATGGCAGGTCAACAAGCGCATCAGGCCATTGAACACGCATTGAAAGCTCTTATCTCTGCCGCAGGACAGAGATATCCTCACCACCATGAATTGCTCGACTTGGAAAGGGTAGTCCGCTGGGCTGACCCGGAATTCAGTGCCGCAATGGAGTCCCCGCTGGATGCGCTCAACGACTATGGAGGGGGACTGAAGTATGATGCACCTTACGCGCCCTTGGGGAGACCACGACGAGCTCCTGCGCCGGGTCGAGGGCGACGTTCTGCGGATTTTCCAACGCGTTTCTGCACTCACGGGTCGCGACCCCTGGCAGGACCAGCGCTAAATGTCCCCACCAACAGGCAAGGTTTATCTGATAGGGGCGGGGCCCGGGGATCCGGGGCTGCTTACCGTGAAGGGCCGCGATGCGTTGGAGCGGGCCGACGTCGTTGTCTACGACCGGCTGGCTCATCCGTCGCTGCTGGACTATGCGCCGCCCTCCGCCGAGCGCATCTTCGCGGGCAAGGCCCGGGGCCAGCAGGAACTGACCCAGGACGGCATCAACGACCTGCTGGTACAGAAAGCGCAGGCCGGGCATCGCGTTGCGCGCCTCAAGGGTGGCGACCCCTTCGTCTTCGGGCGCGCGGCGAGGAGGCCCTCGCCCTGGCCCGCCACGGCATCTCGTTCGAAATCGTGCCCGGCGTATCCTCGGCCATCGCAGCTCCCGCCTACGCCGGAATCCCCGTGACGCATCGTGGCATCGCCACCGGGTTCACCGTGGTCAGCGGCAGCGAGGACCCCTCCAAGCCCGAGTCGTCGGTGCACTGGGAGGAGTTGGCCCGCTCCCTGGCCGCCCACGGCGGCACTCTGATGACACTGATGGGCTGGGCCTCCATCGAGAAAATACTGGAAGCCCTGCAACGGGCCGGCCTGTCCGCCGACACGCCGGTGGCCCTAGTGCAGTGGGGCACCTGGAACAGGCAGAGGACTGTCACCGGCACGCTGGCCACTGCCGCCGCCAAGGGCCGAGAAGCGGATCTGGCCGCTCCCGTCGTTGCAGTCATCGGCGAGGTCGTTAGCCTGCGGGACGAGCTGGCATGGTTCGACAACCGGCCGCTGTTCAGCAAGCGCGTTCTGGTCACCCGCTCCCGCACCCAGGCGTCCCGGATGTGCGATCTGCTTGAGGACGCCGGGGCCGTCGCAGTGGAGCTGCCAGCCATCGCCATCGCACCGCCGGAGGATTTCGCCCTCCTGGACGATGCGGTAAGCCGCCTGTCTTCCTGCGGCTGGGTGATCTTCGCCAGCGTCAATGCCGTCGACTCCGTGTTCGAGCGGCTAGACGCGCAGGGCCGAGACGCCCGAGCCTTCGGTGCCGCCCGCGTCGGTGCCATCGGTCCGGCTACCGCAACCGCCTTGGAACGGCGCGGCATCCACCCCGACTTCACGCCGTCGCGCTCGGTGTCGTCGGCAGCGCTGGAGGAACTGGCGGCTTTCGAATGGAGCGGCGTATCCGTCCTGCTGCCCGCTGCCGACATCGGCCGCGACGAGCTGGCCGACGGCCTCTCCCGCCTCGGCGCCAAGGTCGAACGCATTACCGCCTACCTCACCATCACGCCGCCGGACGCCGCCCAACGGGCGCGAGACGCCTTCACCGAGGGCATCGACATTGTGACGTTCACCAGCTCATCAACCGTCCGTAACCTGCTCTCCCTGCTGGAAGAGGATGGTGGCCCCGGCAGAGAGGCTCTGTCAGATAGCCTCATCGCCTGCATCGGCCCCGTCACGTCCGGCACCGCCCGCGAGCTCGGCCTGCGGGTGGACGTCGAGGCCGAGGAGCATACCGTTGAGGGGCTGGCGGAGGCGCTGATCAAGCACTTTTCATCTTGAGAACAACCCAGGGAGATCAGCCAGTTTCCGTCGGCCCTGGGCCTGTCGACGGACCACCGGCAACGAAAACAGCAAGAATTCTTTGTGCCCCAACCCTTTACAAGGAGCGCTCCCATGACCGGCTACAACGCCTATCCCGAAACCCGTCTGCGCCGCCTGCGCGGTACCGACCCCCTGCGCAACCTGGCTCGGGAGACCCGACTCTCTCCGAAAGAGTTCATCTACCCCATGTTCGTTATGCATGGCCACGGGGTGCGTGAGCCCATCGAACCCATGCCCGGCTGCCACCAGGTGTCGCTGGACGTGATGTCCGATGAGGCGGGCGAGGCCGCGGAACTGGGAATCGGTGGGGTGCTGCTCTTCGGACTGCCCGCCGAGAAGGACCCGCTGGGCACCGAGGGTTACGACCCCGAGGGCATCGTGCAGGAGGCCGTGCGCACCATCAAGCGCGACCATCCCGACATGCTGGTGTCCACCGACGTCTGCATGTGCGAGTACACCGACCACGGCCACTGCGGTGTCATCGACAACGGAAAGATCGACAACGACCAGACCCTCGAGCTGCTGGCTCGCACCGCGCTGACCCACGTGCAGGCCGGCGCCGACCTGCCCGCTCCCTCTGCCATGATGGACGGCCAGGTGTGGGCCATCCGCCAGGCCCTGAACGCCGAGGGCTACGACGACACGCCGATTATGGGCTACGCGGCCAAGTTCGCCTCCGGCTTTTACGGACCCTTCCGAGTCGCCGCCGGTTCGTCTCCCCAGTTCGGCGACCGAAAATCCTACCAGATGGACCCGGCCAACTCCCGGATGGCCATGCGGGAGATCGAGAGCGACATCGCCGAGGGCGCCGACATTGTGATGGTCAAACCGGCCATGGCCTACATGGACGTCATACGTGAGGCCCGCGAGCGCTTCAATCATCCGTTGGCCGCTTACAACGTCAGCGGCGAGTACTCCATGGTCAAAGCCGCCGCCCAGCAGGGCTGGATCGACGAGCGCCCGGTAACCACCGAGCTCCTCACCGGTATCAAGCGCGCCGGCGCCGACATCATCATCAGCTACTTCGCCAAGGACGTGGCCCGCTGGCTGCAGGAGTAGTCGAATTGACCAATGGCGAAATGGGTTTCTCCCAAGGAACGAAGGCAGCGGGGCAGCACGTTTTCGCCGAATTGCTGCGGCGTGACGCTCTGCCTTACCGTACTGCGGACGGCAGCATCGGGGTCAACACCAGCAAGGGCAATCGCCTGGAGTTGCGCATCGTCCCTTCGAGCGACGACAGCACAGATGGCGATTGCCACTTCGCGGTGACCGACTATCAGCCCAGGCCCGAGCTGTTCTTAGTCTGCGTGGAGTTTGATGGCGAGAATCGCCAGCGTTTGGGTTTTCCCCTCCATATCTTTCTATGTCTACGCTGAGCCGGACGAGGAGCGGGGTCTGGTCAGACTGAGCCTTGACGCCGCGCGTGCGGATTCATTCGCCGACTCGCTCAGGGAGTATGTCTCATTCTTCCGCGACCGTTGGGACCCCATTGTCCAGTTTGACCACCTGCGGCAGTACATGCCCCCGTTGAACGCGCCCGGATTCGAGCGCACCTGGGAGGATTTCGAAGACATCCTGATGCTGATGGAGTTTTCCGAATCCCGCGACCGGGTGTCGGACGAACGAATTCCCTTTGAGCCACCAGACCCCGACCCCGACTATGGCCGGCCGTTGATTGAAATAACCCCCAGGGCCCAAGAGCAACTGGACAGCATTCCGCTGGACGACCTGGACGAGGTTTCCGAAGCGATACGTTCCCTTGCGGACGACCCCCATCCGTCCGGCTCCATTGGCCTCGAAGGCATGCCCGGCAATTACCGGGTCCGCAGAATCCCATAGATTCCCGCTTTATTACGAGGAACATCATGCAGCTCACCAAGTCCGAAGCCCTGTTCGCCGAAGCCCAGCGCCTGATGCCCGGAGGCGTCAACAGCCCAGTGCGCTCCTTCCGCGCCGTCACCGGAACTCCGCCATTCATCGCCTCCGGCAGCGGCTCCCGGGTCGTTGACGTCGACGGCAACGAATACATCGACTACCTCGGCTCATGGGGGCCGCTGGTGCTGGGCCACGCTCACCCGTCGGTGGTCGCCGCCCTGATGCGGGCCGCAGAGAACGGCACCAGCTTTGGCGCGCCGGTGGAGCAGGAGGTCGAGCTGGCCCGGCTGATTACCGGCGCCCTGCCCAGCATCGAGTCGCTGCGGTTGGTCAACTCCGGCACCGAGGCCTGCATGAGCGCCATCCGGTTGGCCCGGGCATTCACCGGACGCGACAAGATCATCAAGTTCGCTGGCAACTACCACGGCCACGCCGACGGCCTGCTGGTCCGAGCCGGCTCCGGCGGACTGACCCATGGCATACCCACCAGCGCCGGCGTGCCTGAGTCCTACGCCAGCGAGACGCTGGTGGCCGACTTCAACGACCTTGACTCTGTCGAGCAGCTATTCAACAGCTACCCCAACGCCATCGCGGGGATCATCGTCGAGCCCGTCGCCGGCAACATGGGCGTGGTGGGTCCTACGCCGGGATTCCTGGAAGGCCTGCGCCGGGTAACTGCCCACGATGGAGCCATGCTCATATTCGATGAGGTGATCACCGGCTTCCGAGTGGGTGCGGGCGGAGCGCAGGGACTTTACGGGATAATGCCCGACATCACCACGCTGGGAAAGATCATCGGAGGCGGGCTGCCGGTGGGCTGCTACGGCGGGCGCCGCGAGATCATGGAGCGAGTGGCCCCCCTGGGCGACATGTACCAGGCCGGGACGCTGTCGGGGAACCCTCTGGCCGTCAGCGCCGGGGTCGCCACCTTGACCGAGCTGCGGAAACCCGGCGTCTACGAGCAGATCGACCGCTTGGCCACCCGCTTGACCGACGGCGTCGGCGCCGCCTTCCGCGACGCCGAGTCCCGGGCACGATAAACCGCGTCGGCTCAATGTTCACCGGTTTCTTCAACCCCGGCCCGGTGGAGTCACTGGCAGAGGTCGAGCAGTCCGACGCCACCAAGTACGGCCGCTACTTCCACGCCCTGCTGGAGCGTGGCGTCTACATCGCGCCGTCGCAGTTCGAGGCGGGCTTCGTCTCCACCGCCCACACCGAGGCAGACATCGATGCAACGATAGAGCGAGTGCGGGAGGCGCTGGCGGAGTTGGGGTAGAAGGCTGGGCTATCGGATATATCGGATATAATGCTGAGAGTGATTCGATCGCAAAATAGCGATTCTCTGTGAGAGAGATCCCTTGGTTGCTGACAGTACGCAAGAGGTGGCCGATTACGCAGGGCAGGCCCAGGATTTCTTGAATCAGGGGCGAGCATACCTGTCTACAGGCAACCTGCATCAAGCGTCCGAGAAGGGATGGGGCGCTGCCGCGCACATGGCCAAGGCGGTTGCTGTCGCCCAGGGGTGGGAGTATTCATCTCACGCTGATTTCAGCGAAGTGCTGTATCAAGCCAGGAAATTGACCGGAAACATTCGCATTCGCGATCTCCGTTCGGTGGCCAATGACCTGCACAGCAATTATTACAAACGCAAGCGGCACCTGAACGCCAGGGACATAAGCGAAGGTCTGGAAGCCGTAACGGAACTGCTGACTCTCCTGATGCCGCTTACTGGTCCGGATGCAAATCAGCGGGAACGCTGACGGGCTCAATTTTGGCTTGGCTGCCCAGCCGCCGTGAGGAGCCGTTAAGTTTCCGGAGCCTCACCCTCCCCGGACGCAAACTCCACGGCCTCGCCGGGGTTCACCTTGAACCAGCTATCGCCCGGCTCCGCCTCGGCAGGTTCGGGCTCTGGCCGCTGCACCACCCGAACTCCCAGCGTCGCCAGCATCCCGTCGATGCGCTCCACCGGCGCGCCGGCCGCGGCGGCTTCCCGCCGCAGTGCCAGCAGCTCGGAGGTCATCTGCAGGGCCAACTGCACTCCCGACAGGTTCAGGCCCATGTTGTCCACGAAGTGCTTGATCAGCCGCAGGCGGGCCACGTCATCGTCTGAGTAGGTGCGCAGCGCGCCCATGCGCAGCGGCGCCACGAACCCGGCGCGCTCGTACTTGCGCAGCGTCTGCGGGTGCATGTCCAGCGTTTCCGCCACCACGCTGATCAGGTAAATCCCTCGCGTCTGCTGCATCGACATCGCCTGCTGCCCTCCCGCAATGCCGTGAGGGCCTCGCTCAGGTTCATCCGGAGGCTTACGGCATGCCTTTTTTATACCTTGCGGGAAGTCAGGTGTCAAACTATGTGTACTTAATTTGACCTCAATAAAATCAATATACTACCAATGAGTCTATATGCTCTTGACACGTTTTATATCAACTGATATAGTCTTGTCATACAGTTTGGAGGGAGAGAGTGATGGCAGCGACCGAATTGCAGAACAGGGCAGATGCAGCGACGGAGACCAAGGCAACGGAGCTGAATGAAAAGGTGTCCCGGCAGGTCTACCAGATCCTGGAAGAGTCTGTCCAGCGGGACAAGGTTCCCCAGCCCGTACTGACGTACCGCATCCCGAGCCCCGGGGTCCGCTACTACTTCTAGCTGACCCGGGAGTCACAGCAGTCCGTACCGAACAAAGACAAACTATCCAGAGTCAGGAGTAACGCATGATGATGCAGCGACGCAACCCCTTCAATGAATTAAGGCAGATGCATGACACCATGAACCGGATGTGGCGGCGGTTCGACACGGTGCCGGGCGATGACCACAACGGTATCGAAGCGTGGGCCGCCCCGCTTGACGTGGTGGCCGACGGCGATGACTTCGTCGTCAGTGCCTCTCTCCCCGGCGTGGCACCGGACAACATCCAGGTAGCCATTGAGGACAACGTCCTGACCATCCGGGGCGAGACGGCGTCCCACTTCGAGAACTCCAACGGCAACTACCTGATGCGCGAGCGCCGCAGCGGTTCCTTCCATCGCTCCCTGCGCCTGCCCGACACGGTGGACCAAGGCAAAGCAGAGCCCCGCTACGAGCACGGCGTCCTGACCATCACCCTGCCCAAGGCCGAGGCCAAGAAGGCCAAGCGGTTCGAGGTCAAAAGTGGTGGAGGGCCCCGTCGCCATCCAGGCCAGCTAGGCTGGCAGGCGGGCCCGGGCGAACTAAGGGACCAATGTCCCGGAGCTACCTGCCCGTAGGGGCGCACGACGGTGCGCCCCTACCTTTTTGTGTGCAGTCTCCATTGCCTTCGAAAACTACCGATGGGGAACAGTCTACCAGACTCCGGGACCGGACCCATTCACGGCACAATAAAAACGTGGGGGCGCACTGTTGTGCGCCCCCACGACCCTTGCGAGGATGGAACCGGGGTGCCGGAGACTACGCGCCGTAACGGGCGGCGGCCAGGGGGTCGCTGTATTCCTGGTTCTTGGTGCCCCAGAAGGCGGCGGCGATGTCGTCGCAGGCGGCCACCAAATTCTCGGCGTTCTCCATACTGACGGTCTGCTTGCACTGTCCGGCCAGTTTGATGGCCGCGTTGAACTTGGCGGCAATCTCACCGGCGTCGATGCCGGGCCAGGCATAGTCGGCCCAGAGGATGCGCAACTCCTCCTTGCACTTCTCGGCGTGCTCTTCCTTAACCTGCACATAGCGGCTGAAGGTGTTGGCGAAGGCCTGGTGGCGGACATTTCGGACCCGGGGGCCGGATGCTCGAGGTTCTGCATCCGCAGCACCATCTTCTGCACCGTCTGCGCCGCGATCTTGGCGCTAATGGGATCATAAATACCGCAGGGAATGTCGCAGTGGGCCTTGGCTACCGCAGGCTTGAACCACCCGATCGGGTTGAACATCATGCCCCTCCATTTCACAAATTCTGAGACTGTTGCCCCGCAAATTCGAGGCGCTCGCGTCAATTCGAGCCGCTCAAAAGGTTAATGGAAATCGCCCATCGGCGCAACCCACCGACCCACGGTGGGAGACACCAGCGGTGCCATGCTAGACTGGAATTATGGGCGTTACGAAATCCACCATCATCCGCCGGGAACACCCCGGCACCGCTGAGGCCACCCTGCTCATCGCCGAGCGGGACGCCTATCTCGACCCCCTGTATCCAAGGGAGAGCCAGCACGGGTACAGCATCGAGAAGCTGGTGGAGCAGCAGGTCGAATTCTTCGTCCTCTACCACAACTGCGAACCCGCGGCCTGCGGTGGCGTCCAGATCTTCGACGACCCCGAAGCCCCGGGTCAGCGCTACGGCGAGATCAAGCGCATGTACGTCCGCAACCAGCACCGCGGCCTGGGTTTTGCCAAGCTGATGCTGGCACACCTGGAGCAGGTTGCAGCCGACAGGGGCGCAGGCCTGATGCGCCTCGAGACCGGCATCTACCAGCCCGAGGCCATCGGCCTCTACGAGAGGTGTGGCTACTACCGCATCCCGCCCTTCGGCAGCTACCCGCCCGACGACCCCCTCAGCCTCTGCTACGAGAAGTGCTTGAGCCACATCGACCGCTAACGATCAGGACAGTACAGCAGGTCGCTGTCGGTCCTCACGTGCCGCAACCGCCTCGGAATGCAACCGTCGAAGTTGTTTCCGGCAATATCAAGCTGCTGCAGGCGGTCCAGATTGCCCAGCTCCGCCGGTACCTCACCGGTGAGCAGGTTGTTGCGGGCCGAAAGCACCTCCAGGTTTCTGAGAACGCCAAGTTCCGGTGGAAGTGGCCCGTCTAGGTAGTTATCGGAAAGATTCACGTGTTCCAGGTTCAGCAGTCGCCCAAGCTCCGCCGGTATTCCACCCTCCAGTCCTGTGGCCGTCAGCTCCAGCCGCCGCAACTCGGAGAGCTGCCCAAGCTCCGCCGGTATCTCACCACTCAGCGGATTGTTCGAAAGGACAAGATTCTCCATTCTCGTCGCATCGCCCAGTTCCGGTGGTATCCCTCCGGAAAGCCGGTTGTTCGAGAGACGCAGCCATTGCAGCCTCTCAGAATTTCCCAGAGCCGGCAGTATCACGCCCGTGAGCAGATTGTCATTGAGCCCCAGGCTCACCAATTCCGGTAGCAGGGCCAGCTCCGGGGGAATGTTGCCCGTCAGCCGGTTACTGCTTAGGCTCAGATGAGCCAGACCGGTCAGGTTGGCCAATTCAATGGGAATCTCTCCCTCCAATAGATTGCCTCCAAGCATCAAGGACTCCAGGCTTCCCATTTGGCCAATCGCTCTGGGTATGCCACCGGTCAGCTGATTGTCCGCGATCTCCAGCTTTCGCAAGTCCGCCAGGTCCGAGAGTTCCCGTGGTATCTCCCCGGTCAGCCGGTTGTTCGAGAGCCGCAACTCCTCCAACGATTCCAGCCGTCCCAACTCCGGCGGAATCGGGCCCGTAAGCTGGTTCTTGGTCAAGTCCAATATACGCAAATTGAACAGCGCCCCGATTTGTGCGGGGATGCCGCCGGTCAACTCATTGTCGATGAGCAGCAACCGCTGCAGATTGGCAAGTTGTCCCAGGCTGGGAGGAATTTCTCCCTTCAGCCCGCTTTCGGCCAGACTCAATGTCTCCAGGTTCCTTAGCTGTGCCAGTTCCTCCGGTATCTCCCCCTCAAGATTTTCTGCCCAGAGCCACAGTTCTCTCAAACTCGTCAGCTGACCCAACTCCGGCGGAATCTCGCCCCTCAACCCTTTGCCAAATATATGTATCCCTTGCAAACCTTCAAATTGGCCCAGTTCCGGTGGTATCCCGCCGGACCAGTCGTCCCCGTCCAGCCTCAGCTCCCTGAGACTCGAGAGTCGGACCAATTCGGGAGGAATCCGACTATTCAACCCCGTGATTGTCAGGTCCAGCGTCTCAACCCGGTTGGACGTTCTTCCGATGCCGACGCCGTCCCAGTTCCGGATGGAAATAGTCGTTCTCCAACCCAACCCCCGGTCCGACAGGATTCCCCTCACATCCAGCAGGGTCTCGCAGTCCTCAACCAAGCCGGGGTTCTCTTCGGGCTCACGCACGACGACGCCATTGGCACAGGGAGAGCCGTGCGTGGCCGTTGGTGCGGGAAGAGGAATCGCAGTTGGAAGTGGTGTGCGCATGGCCGTTGGTACGGGAAGAGGTATCGCCGTCGGAAGCGGTGCGGGCGTGGCCGTTGGCATAGGTTGAGGAAACGGTGCAGGGGAGACCGTGGGTACAGTGGGCTGCGCAGTTGGCGTCAGCGTGAGCACCTTCACGCCGCACGCGATGCCGGCACACATCCCGACGAATGCAAGTACTATCAGGACAGTGCTCTTCAACCGACGACCTCAGCGTTGTCTTTGGTTTGATTGCATTGAATTGTAAGCACGGGCAACCCCGGCCGCCACTGGCAACCCCGGCCGCCACGGGAAGCCCCGGAAGTGCCGCCTTGTGCCTCTATTGGCCGCAACCTATAATTGCGCGACAGATTTCCGGCAACACTCAGACATCGGGGACTCCGAGATTGCTCGCCCCGCTGAACCCTATCCTGCACCTACGGAGATGACCCTGTGGCCACCACCAACGCAGCGACAGCGCCAGTTGAAATCGGAAAGCCCGCCAAGACCAAGCATCGCAGCGCAGAGATCACCCACGACCCTCAGCGCGCCCCCGCCCGCGCCATGCTGATGGCCATGGGCATCACCCACGAGGACATGGAAAAACCCTTCGTCGCCATCGCCAACCTGGCCAGCGACGTCACCCCCTGCAACGTACATCTAAGCCGCTTCGCCAACGGGGCCAAGGAGGGTGTTCGCGCCGCCGAAGGAATCCCCTTCGAGTTCGGCACCATCACCGTCAGCGACGGCATATCCATGGGCACCGAGGGCATGAAGACCTCCCTGGTCAGCCGCGAGGTCATTGCCGACTCCATCGAGCTGGTGACCTTCGGCGAGCGCATGGACGGCCTCATCACCATCGCCGGCTGCGACAAGAACATGCCCGGCTGCATGATGGCTCTGGCCCGCCTCAACGTCCCCGGCATATTCATGTACGGCGGCTCCATCATGCCCGGCCAGTACAACGGCCGCGACGTGAACATCCAGGACGTCTTCGAGGCCGTCGGCGCCTACGCCAAGGGCGACGTTACCTTCGAGGAGCTGCGCGAGCTGGAATGCGCCGCCTGCCCCGGCGAGGGGTCCTGCGCCGGCCTATTCACCGCCAACACCATGTCCACCGCCATTGAAGTTATGGGCATGTCGCTCCCCGGCGACGCCTCCATCCCCGCCATCGACCCCCGCAAGCTGGGCGAGGCCCGCGACGTGGGCCGCACCCTGATGCGCCTGCTGGAGGAGGACGTCCGCCCCCGCGACATCATGACCAAGCAGGCCTTCGAGAACGCCATCACCGTGGGAGTGGCCATGGGCGGCTCCACCAACATCGTCCTGCACCTGCTGGCCATCGCCAACGAGGCCGGAGTGCCCCTGGGCCTTGAGGACTTCGAGCGCATCAGCGCCGGCACTCCCTACATCGCCGACATGAAGCCCGCGGGCCGCTACGTGATGGCCGACCTGTCTCGCTACGGCGGCATCGCGCTGGTGATGAAGCGCCTGCTCGCAGCAGGCCTGCTCCACGGCGACGCCATGACTGTCACCGGCAAGACCGTCGCCCAGAACCTAGAGGGCATCACAGTGATCGACGACCAGCCCATCATCACTCAGGTCGACGCTCCGCGCAGCCCCACTGGCGGCCTGCCATCCTGCGCGGCAACCTCGCCCCCGACGGCGCGGTCATCAAGGTGGCCGGCCACCAGGAGCGCGTCTACCGCGGCCCGGCCCGGGTCTTCGACCAGGAACCCGCCGCCTTCCAGGCAATCCAGCGCGGCGAGGTCAAGGCAGGCGACATCGTGATCATACGTTACGAGGGGCCCAAGGGCGGCCCCGGCATGCAGGAGATGCTGGGGGTGACCGCCGCGATCGTCGGCCAGGGCCTCGGCGACGACGTTGCGCTGGTCACCGACGGCCGCTTCTCCGGCGCCAGCCACGGCCCAATGGTAGGCCACGTGGCCCCCGAGGCGGCGGTGGGCGGCCCCATCGCGCTGCTGCGGGAAGGCGACGAAGTCACGCTCGACATTCCGGCCCGCCAGTTGAACGTCAAGCTCACCGAGGAGGAGATGACCGACCGCCGCGCCAACTGGCAGCCCCTCCCGCCCAACTACACCACCGGCGCCCTCGCCAAGTACGCCAAGCTGGCCTCCTCGGCATCCGAGGGCGCGATTACTCGCTAGCTGCCGGAAAGGTCTTTGTACTCCCAATTCTTGGATTCATACCATTTGTAATACCGTGGTATGATTGGCATTCAGGAATTGGGAGGAAGAACATGGCCAAGATTGCGATCAGCCTCCCGGATGAGGTGCTGGAGGCAGTAGAAAAGGAGAGGCTGGGCCGAAGCAAAGTCTTGAGTCGCAGCGAATTCATCAAAATAGCCGTGCAGCAGTATCTCCAAACCGAATCTGAAAAAAGCCTGGAGGAGCAATACATTCGAGGTTATCTGGAGCAGCCCGAGACGGCCGAGGAATCCGAATGGCTGGATCAGGCCGCTGCTGAAGTGTTTGCCAACAACCCCTGGCGGCAAGAGAACCAGGATTGAGGCGCGGAGAAGTGTGGTGGGCAGAGTTTCCTGGTCTCGCGGGCCATCGCCCGGCGGTACTCCTGTCGCGCAACTCGGCATACGCAGTCAGGTTGTCCGTAACGGTTGCTCCAGTGACAACCCGGGTAAGGGGCATTCCAGTTGAAGTACCGCTGGGTCCGGATGACGGGCTACTCATGGAGAGCGTGGCCAATTTGGACGATATAACCACATTACCCAAATCCAGACTCCGCAGCAGAATTACGAACCTGAGTGAGGAAAAGCTCCAAGCAGTTGAAACGGCTTTGAGATTCGCCTTGGGGCTGAGTTTCTAAGGCGTTATTGCCCCCGAGCCGGCCTCGCCGGTTCACCCCATACCAAACCACGTCAGGAGTGCATACCATGACAACGGACTACGGAACAGAGGCCATCCGCCGGCACCGCGAAAGCCGCGGCAAAGTAAGCATCGCATCCAAGATGACGGTGGAAACGCTGGATGACCTGTCCATCGCTTACACCCCTGGCGTGGCGTCGGTGTGCATGGCGATTTATGCCGACCCCGCTGAATCCTACAACCTCACCAACCGGGGCAACACCATTGCCGTGGTCACCGACGGCTCCGCTGTGCTGGGCCTGGGCAACATCGGCGCCGCAGCCGCCATGCCCGTGATGGAGGGCAAGTCCATCCTGTTCAAGGCCCTCGGCGGCGTCGACGCCTATCCCATCTGCGTCGCGTCCCAGGACAGCGAGACGATCATCAACACCGTGCGCGCCATCGCCCCCAGTCTGGGCGGAGTAAACCTGGAGGACATCGCCGCACCCAAGTGCTTCGACATTGAGGACGCCCTGCAGGACCTGGGCATCCCCGTCTTCCACGACGACCAGCACGGCACCGCCATCGCGGTCTTGGCCGCCGTCATCAACAGCTTGGCCGTCACCGATCGCAAGATCGAAGACTCCACCTTCGTATTCGCCGGGGCAGGTGCGGGCGGCATCGCCTCCGCCAAGCTGCTGCTCGATTTCGGCGCGACCAACATCATCCTGGTCGACAGCGTGGGCATCATCCACCGTGGCCGCACCGACCTGACCCCCATCAAAACCTCGATGCTCGACATCACCAACCCGGAGAACCGCACCGGCGGCATCGCCGAGGCCATGCGCGGGGCCGACGTGTTCATCGGCTTGGCCGTTGCCGACATGGTGACCCCTGAGATGGTCTCCTCCATGGCCAAGGACTCCATAGTATTCGCCATGGCCAACCCGATCCCGGAGATCATGCCTGACCTAGCCGAGGCCGCCGGCGCCGCCGTGGTGGGTACGGGCCGGAGCGACTTCCGCAACCAGATCAACAACAGCCTGGTCTTCCCCGGCGTTTTCCGGGGGGCCCTCGATGCCAAGGCCACCCGAATCACCACCGGCATGAAGCTGGCCGCCGGCCAGGCGCTGGCCGCCCTAGTCCCGGAGCCCACGCCGGAGCGGGTGATACCGTGGTCTCTCGACCTCGCCGTATCGGCAGCCGTGGCCAAGGCCTGCGCCGACGCCTGGGCCGCTGGCTGATCAGCGTCCCTCCACGGGCCGTTAGTAGATCGACGGCAAGAAATGGCGGACAGAAGCGACGGGCCAGCAAGGGACACCATTGAGCTGGCATGTTCGGTGTGCGACAGAGAATTGGGATACGACCAGGAATTTGCCAGCCGCATTATTGGAAGGTGCCGCTGGGGATAACACGGTGTTCGGTTACGTTCACTTATGGTGTGTGGCCTGATGGCGGCATACGGACGCGAATCTATGCCCGTAGCTAGACCCCACGAGTTTGTCCGACTATAAAGACTCTTGCCCTGATATCACTGTTGCTGCTTGGAACCGTGGCGGCCTGCGTAGCTTGTACGACTGCGACTGAGGAGACGATCGTATCCAAGGATGTTGGGGTGGTCCAAGTCTCGGAAGATTCAGGAAATGCAGGCAGCACCCCTGACCGACCTCGGCCGACCCCGTTGAACACACTTGCGCCGGAGGAAATACCGGAAGGAGTTTCACCGGCTTTGGCCATGGATGCCCAATATTACGCCGAAGCCTATGGCGTTGAATTGTCGGAGGCAATCAGGCGGCTAACACTGCAAGATCCCATCGGGGAGTTGGGGGCAACCCTCGAATCCAATGAAGCTGGCACCCTCGGAGGTTTCTGGATTCAGAACGAGCCAGAGTACCGCATCGTGGCGGCATTCACCAAGGATGGGGAAAAGACAATGGCCAAGTATGTCAAGGACGGGCCACTGTTGGACCTTATTGAAGTCAGAACCGTCGATGCCACCCTCCGGCAATTGAAACGAGCCCAACAAGAAGCTGGCTCGATGGTCAGAGGACTTGGGTTTCACGCGGCATCCAGTATCAACGTATTCCAGAACCGAGTCGAGATCTACGTGTCTGATCGTTCACTGCTCGAAGAGGCCCTGCAAGAGAGCGGGAAAACGCTTCCGGCGCACGTCCAGATTGTTGGGCCGTGAGTTCCGGAACTCCTGGAAGATGAATAAACCCTGCGACAGAGCGTTGCGGGGATGCTACGAAAGGCCATAAACCATAAGCAAACGGAACCCGGTGTTCACCAGGGCAATCGCGTCTTAAACGCCGGAGGCCCTGTGAGTCGTCATTCCCGCGCAGGCGGGAATCCAAACCCCCCGTCTACCCTCGCACCCGGAACCGCAGGAGGCACCGCCACTCCCTTCGCCACCGCCAATCAGGCCAATTTTGTGTGCTGAGAAATAAGGCGCGATTGCCCCGCGGTGGTCATAGATTCCAGAAAATACTGGAGATCGGACACATCTGAATTCGGCGAGGACGAAGTGGCTGTCACGTTGCTTGAACACGTGACCATTTTCGACCCGGACGATTGCCGCACGCTGGTTGAATTCTGTCGCCGTCAGGAACGTCGCCGTCTCCCCCTCCAACGTAGTCAGTCCACTGACGTACAGTTCGATTGGAGCCAGCGTTACCCGAATCGTGCTGATCGGCATCTGAAATGCTTCCTCTCGACCCCTTTGCTTACGTATCGGACCAGCCCAACGTCAAGGTCGTACGGCATTCGCTCCCGCCGACGCCAATCTCACCGTACTCCCCTGCCTGCACCCGCCGCCCATGCCCCACTGACACCCACTCCTTGCCAACCCCCCACACGCACGCATACAATTGGTATACGAACAAATACTCTATTTTGAGAACCTACAAGACATCCAAACGGTGCAGGTGACTCAACTACCGCGAAATACCGGAATTTCCCGGGAACCAAAATTTTTCGGCCTGTCCGCACCTGGGACACCCCGCGCAGTGTGGCCTGACCTGAAATACCGGGAACATGCAGCCCTTATGAGTGGAAATGAGCGGATTTGAGCGGAAAATAAGAATTTTCCGCCCTTTTCCGCCCATGGCGCCCGCCGAGCACCGTTCCGCAAATGCAGGTCGCCCCACGTGTCGAATGTCAGACAAATGCACACTTTGTCACGGTTTTGAGGGGGTGCCCTCCGCAGATTCTCCCACTCCCACGAGAAATCTACTTCATCAGCTCCAGACCTTCGCGACGCTGCGACTCGAGATTCAGGGAAATCCCGAAATCAGGCGAATCAGGGTTCAGACAGCCTTGCCAATCCCGAATGGCCCAGTTTGGCCCACTTTCGAACCGGCGTGACCGGTTCGCAGCGATGCGCAAGCCCGCAGCAGCCCAGGGCAATCGCGTCTTGAACGCCGGAGGCTCTATTAGTCGTCATTCCCGCGCAGGCGGGAATCCAAGCCCCCGTCTGCCCTCGCACCCGAAACCGAAGGAGGCCCTGCCACTCCCGTCTCCACCGGCATTCAGACCAATTTTGTGTGCTGAGTAATAAGACGCGATTGCCCTGCGCAGCAGCCCCGGTTGCGGCCCCGCCGCCCTCTCCCTAGAATGCCCTCATTCCTCCCGGCCCAAACAGCGGTGTTCAATAGTCCGTTATCCCCGCGAATGCGGAAATCCAGTGGCTTTTGCGACGGCACCGCCTGCATTTGACCTGCAATCCCTGATTCCAGCGGAGGGGGGAACTACGGGAAACCGGGAAAGGAGAACCGCAAATGTCGGATCCGTCAGTCAAGTTCACAACGTCGGGAGCCGTCGGAATCATCACGCTGGACAGTCCCGAAACCCGCAACGCCCTGACGCCGGGGATGATTGACGCGCTGGGCAAAGCCGTAGAGCAGTGCGCGTCGCCCAACATCCGTGCCGTGCTGCTGCAGGGCGCAGGCGGCGCCTTCTGCGCCGGAGCCAACGTCCGGGACTTGGTGGCAACCCTGGAGGCCAGTGGCCCGGATGGCATCACGCAGGCCATTCGCGACCTGGCCGACGCGCTGCACAGCCAGGTCGTGCTGCCCCTGCGACGGCTTCCCAAGCCCGTGGTAGCCGGAATCAACGGTGCGGCTGCGGGCGCCGGATTCAGCCTGTCCCTCGCCGCCGACCTGCGTGTTGCCGCCCAGAACGCGAGGTTCCTGATGGCCTACGCCAACATCGGCGCCCCCGCCGACGGCGGCTCCACTTGGCTACTGCCCCGCCTGCTCGGCACCGGACGGGCCATGGAACTCTACCTAGCCAGCCAGCCCATCGGCGCTCCCCGCGCCCTCGAGCTCGGGCTGGTCTCCCAGGTCTGCCCCGACGATGAGCTCGACCGCCACGCCCTGGAAACCGCCACGCGCCTCGCCGGCGGACCCACCATTGCCTACGGCCGGGTCAAGGAACTATACGAACGCTCGTGGGGCTCTACGCTGGAGGAACAGCTCGATGCCGAAACCGAGGCCTTCGCCCGCACCGCCCGCACCCGCGACTTCCAGGAGGGCATCAAGGCCTTCGCCGAACGCCGCCAACCCTGGTTCCAGGGGATTTAGAGGTTAGTCGCCTCCCGCTGTGGGCCTTAGTCTCCTCCGCTCGTTGGTCAGCAGAAGCGGCAGAATCCGCTCCGCCGCTTTTTCCAGGGTGAAACCCACTGGGTCCCCCTCGGCGTCTAGGTGAGCAATACAGTGCTCAATGACGGTCTCGCTGTAGCTCACCGGATTGCCGTTGTGAAAAGAAAGGGTGTCCGACTCCGCGCAATACTCGATTGTCAGGTCCGCGCCCTCAATATCCGCAGCGGTATATTCCTTCGGCCTTAGATGAGGCAAAAAACAAGGCTGCCGCGTCGAGAAATTCAAATCCAATGCAGCGACTGTTGATGTCAAAGTCGGCCATCAGATCGTACGCAATAGTCGCGGACTCCTCGTAGTTCCCTCCAGTCGACAAAGACAGGATGTCAAGACCGCTGTCGTAGGTGTATGGCGTTGTACCTTCCACTACGATCTCCCCCTGCGTCTTCGTTCGCTACGGTCAGGCGATGCTGAAACGACTATCCGGGGTTCGCTAAATGGGTCGACAATGACCCTGAGGTAGTTCCCTCTGGCGCTGAGATCAGGAAACCATCTCCAGTATATTACGCGGCTGAAAGATCCCTGTTCTATTCGTTCAGGAGATTCGACGGTCTCTCGTATGCGGTCACCCGTCACTAGGCCAGTACAATTGGGATGGTCTCGCCAGACATGCTCGGCCACCTCGTATTGCTGCCCGTCAATGGTAAAGGTCATTCTACCGCAGGCGCGCCACCGTCACCCCATCGCCGCCTGCACCCTGGTTCCAGGGGATTTAGTCGAGTCGGGCCTATTGGTGATTTCCGGCATCAAGGTGCGATCGCGTCCGCGGATCTTGCACTTCCTGATGCCGCAAATTCATACACAAGCATTTGAATAGACCGGGTCGGGGCTGCTCCACCTTTAATTGAAAGACGCACTGTCTCAGATGTCGCAATGCTCACCGACTGTTCCCCGCAACGTACGCAAACCTCCGTGGGGATGCGCTCAACCAACACATACTCGCCATCAATGTTAAAGACCTCGTCAGCGAGGTCCATCCGGCTCTTTTTGCATCCGCAGACCGCACAGCTAAACATAGCTATCTCCGAGTAATGTGATTGATCCAGTCGGCTGGGTCAGGTTCGTAAACCGTTATCACTCTAAGAGGGTGTAACTGGGATAGTGGTACGAAGGCAGGAACCTGGGAGTTGGTTGTAGTGTGGAGGCATGGAACGACCTGCTTATGGCAGTGATGTCAGCGACCGGGAGTGGCAGTTTTTGGAACCGTTGTTGCCGCCACCCAAACCTGGAGGGCGGCCGGTCAAGTATCCGAGGCGCGAGATCGTCAACGCCATCCGCTACGTGCTGCGCACTGGCTGCTCTTGGCGGATGCTCCCCCACGACCTGCCGCCGTGGCGCACCGCATTCCATTATTTCCGTACTTGGCGCCGGGATGGAACCTGGCAACGAGCCCACGACACGCTGCATGCCATGTTGCGGCAAGCTCAGGGCCGCCAGGCCACACCCAGCGCGGCCATCATCGACAGCCAATCGGTGAAAACCGCTGAAAAAGGGGGCCCAAAGGGTACGACGCAGGCAAGAAGGTGAAAGGGCGAAAACGCCACATCGTAGTGGATACCCTGGGACTGCTGCTGGCGGTGGCGGTGCATCCGGCCGACATTCAGGATCGAGACGGCGCCCGGCTGGTACTACAACGGCTGGTGGGTCGATGCCCCCGGCTACAGGTGATCTGGGCCGACGGAGCCTACGGAGGCAAACTGGTGGAGTGGGCCCAGGCGACCGCCGGTTGGAGCCTGGAATTAGTGCGCCGTCCCGCTGGGCAGAAGACCTTTCAAGTATTGCCCAAGCGTTGGGTGGTGGAACGGACCTTCGGCTGGCTGAACCTGCAACGGCGACTAGGCAAAGATTACGAGGCATTGTGTGAAACCACCGAAACCTGGCTGTACATCTCCATGACCGGGCTCATGCTACGCAGACTCACCCGCCTTTTACCTTTTTAGACACCCTCTTAGTAGGGGAGTATCAGCTAGAGAGACCAGGATATGAAGCGGCCTTCCGGCACCAGTTATTCCCAACAGCAAGCAACTGGGAGAATATTTGTCGTCTCGATATTCCTCGATTGCCGTCGCCGTTGCGCCCGCTTGCACGATTTCCTGTTCTGTTATATCTCGCTGGACCAAGCGCCTGAGGACATGCAGGGTAAAATCAAATTCGGCACTCGAGAGTTGCCTGCGGACATCGTCTAGTGATTTGACCATCCATCAATTCCCACACCCTTCGACGCCTACCGCAGGCGCACCACCGTCACCCCATCGCCGCCGGCACCTTCGCCGTCCGTTGCCGCCTCCACCAGCGGGTGGTCGGACAGGAACTCGCGGATGGCCCGCCGCAGCGCACCCGTGCCCTTGCCGTGAATGATGCGCACCAGCGACACACCGTCCAGCGCGGCATCGTTCAGCACCGTCTCCACGCGGTCCACCGCCTCGTCCACCCGTAAGCCCCGCAGGTCCATCTCCGGATCGGGAACTCGAGGCGCTGCCGGCCGGCTCTCCGCGCGGTCCAGGTACACACCCTGGCGCGAAGCCACCGGGTGTCCCTCGGCCAGGCTCTGCAACTGGTAAACCGGGATCTTGGCCCGCATCGTCCCCAGCAGCACCTCGACCCTCTGCGCCTGTGTCGAGCCCGACGTCAGATCCGGCGGCGTGATCACCTCCACCGGCTGGCTGATGCCCCGCACGTAGACCCGGTCGCCGCTCTTCAGCCGCTCCTGCCAAGGAGTCCTCTTGACTTCGATGGGCTGCCAGCTTGCCGCGTCCAGCTCTCGCTCCACCTCCCGCAACTCATCCCGGTGTTCCCGGAACTCCGTCTGCGGCTCCTGCCCGGCCGCACCGCCGCCAATGGCGCCCATTGGCGCGGGGGCAACTCTTGCCGCGGCGAGTTCCATCGACCGCTCTGCCCGCTGCAACCGGTCCAGCATGTCACTGGTTCGAAGCTGCAGTTCGCGCCTGGCCTCTTCCACCAGCTCGGTCTTGGTGGCCTCAACCGTACCCAGCTGCTCCTCCAGTTCCTGCCGCAGCCTGACGGCGGCGAGGCGTGACGACTCCGCCTCCTCCTTGAGCTCCTCCCACCGTTCGTCGCTCCTGCTGCAGTTCACGCAGCAGCGACTCGGTGGCCTGCTCTACCGGCGAGATGCCCGCGCTGGCGTCGTCGATGATCTCCTGTGGCAGTCCCAGCCGCGCCGCGATGGTCAGCGCGTAGCTGCGCCCCGGCAGCCCGACCGTCAGCTGATAAGTGGGTGCCAGCGTCGTGGGGTCCAGGTCCACGCTGGCGTTCATCATGCCCGGGTGCTCCTGCACCGCACGCGCCACACCGCGCTGGTGCGTCGTGCCCACCAGGAACACACCCATCTGCTGGAAGTGCCGCAGCACGGCGCTGGCAAGAGCCGCGCCCTCCTCCGGGTCGGTGCTGGTGCCCAGTTCGTCCACCAGCACCAGCGATCGAGACGTCGCCCGACGCATGATGCCCAGCAGGTTGGTGATGTGCGAGCTGAATGTCGACAGCGACTCCAGGATGCTTTGCTGGTCACCTATGTCCGCGTAGATCCCGTCGAACCCCGGAAACCGCGCTTCCTCCGCCGGAATGTGCAGACCGGCGTGGGCCATCATTGCCAGCAGGCCGACCGTCTTCAGCGCAACCGTCTTGCCGCCGGCGTTCGGACCCGTGATCAGCAGCACTCCCCGGTGAGAGTCCATGGACAGGCTGATGGGTACAACGCTGCCGCTGAGCCCTCCGGCCCCGGCCAGCAGCGGATGACGGGCCCGGCTCAGCTGCAGCCGGCGGCGAGGGCCTTGTTCCTCGTCCTCCAACTCTTCGATGATCGGCTGTGTCGCCCGCAGCGCCGACGAGTACCGCGCCTTCGCCACGTCCAGGTCCAGGCGCGCCACGATGTCCAGGGCCAGCAACAGGTCCTCAGCCGTCTCGCCGACGTGAATCGACAGCTGCCGCAGCACCCTCTCCACCTCGCGATCCTCGGCCAGCCGCGCCTCCCGCCAGCGGTTGCCCATGTCCACGGCAGCCATCGGCTCCACGAACACCGTCGCCCCGCTGTCGGAAACGTCGTGGACGATACCCGCCACCCGGTAGCGCATCTCCGTCTTGATCAGCAGCACCATCCGCCCATTGCGCTGCGTGATTATCGGCTCCTGCACCACCTCGGAACGCTGGAACCGGCGCAGGTTGCGCTCCATTATGTCGTTCAGACGGGTCTGGGCCTGCCGCGACTCCGCCCTCAGCCGCGCTAGCAGGGGACTGGCATAGTCCACCACCTCCCCCGCCGGGCTGATGGCCGCGCCGATCTCCCGGTCCAGGTGCCCCAGCTCCGGGATGTTGCTCGCCAGGCTGGACAGCAGCGGCAGGCTCTCCTGGTTGCTCAGTTCGTCGCGGTCGACACGCGCGGCACGGGCAAAGGCGCGGACGGCGTACAGTTCCTCGCCGCGCAAAAGGCCGCCCAGCAGCGCCCTGTGGATCAGTTCGCTGATGTCCTGTTCCGGCCCGAACTCCAGGGACCCGCCCCCGTCGATGTACCGGCGGGACTCGGTCGTCTCCTGCTGCCGCGTCGCCACCTCCAACAGGTCGTCCGACGGCTCCAGCCCAGCCACCTTCTCGCGTCCCAGCTCCGTGCGAGCGTAGCCCGACAGCTGCGCCAGCACCTTGTCAAACTCCAACAACCGGCCGGCAGACTCAAACCCACCCAGAGACATCCAACATCTCCATATCTGTGAAATCTACGCCAATGGCTGGCCGCAATGCGAGATCATAAACTCCCTGCACACACGCGCCCACCCAATTCCCGTCATTCCGGCGGTGCCCGCAACGTTCCCGCCCTTTCCACCCATGCCCGCGATCACCGAGAGGCCAGCCGTCCGCCTCCGGCCCGTCATTCCAGGGAAGCACGTCCTCGCGAATGCGGGGATCGGGAATCCAGAGAACCCGTTGCCCCTGCCTCAGACGCTGAACTCCAGCTCCCACACCCGGCTCTCGATCAGCATACCCGCAACCTGCGGGAGGGTATCACGTTTCGGGTCGCGGATGTTCAGCCGACGTTTCAGCGTTATCGGCCCCAACGCCGCCAGCGCCGGGCAGTCCTTGAGCAACCCGTTCAGAGTGAACCTCTCACCGCCCAGCACCACGTAGTCCAGCTTCGCGGAAGGTGGGGCCAGACGCCCCCGCACTTCCTCGCAAACCTTGTTATACAGCCGCCGGATCTGCCCTTCGCGCACCCGCGTGTACCGCAACTGCGACGTCCCGCCAGCGTGGTGTTTGCCCTTCACGTACCGCGAATCGGTTTTGGCCTCCAACAGTTCCCCGCCGCGAAAAACTGCCACCGAAAACCGCCCCAGCCGGACCAGCACGACCCCCACAGTGTAGTCCCCGTCCAGGATCCGTCGCAGCGGCTCGTCATCCCAATCCGTGGACAAATAGGTATCCGCCACCGGAAACGGCGGCGCCACCAGCAGGCCCCGCCCGCCGGCACGCAGCCCCACCAGACCGCAACCGTCCCGCAGCACCGCCTCACCCAGTTCCGACACCTGACCAGCCCAACCCGTCGCGGACAGCGCCGCCACATCGGGCCTGTCCCCCGGCGCAAGATAAAGCGAAGACGAGCCCTCGAACCCCCGGTCTCCGCCGCCAGCCCGTCCAGCATCCGCCGCAGCCTCACCGCCGACACCGTCGCGCCAGCCAGCTTTTCCCTGTTGCCTGCCTGAGATGCCATACGAATCGATTGTAGCATCGCCGCCTCTGCCGACGCCGGGTATAATCCGCAAGGCATTGTCAGAATCTGGATTCACCGGACGCACAGATTTACACGATTCCCCAATCCTGAACATCCCTTAATCCTGAAAATCCTGATTCTGACAATTCCCAGACAGCCAAAAGGGGAGAAACCGTTGACACCTGGAGAGCGCGAATCCATCCTGCAGCGCCGCGACGCCGCGTTGAAACGCCTCGACGAGGGCCACGAAATCCTGCTGAAATCGCTGGAAGGCCTGGAGGCCGAAGAGGCCTTCCTCGGCCAGCGCTGGTCGGTCCGCGACGTGCTCCTCCACCTCGACTCCGAGCGTTACGTCGACGCGCTGGAGAAGATCGCCCGCGGCGAGATGGAAATGCTCCCGCCCTTCTCCTCCCGCGATGAGCATTTCCGCCAGGAACTGGAGCACCAGGAGGCCACTCACCGGCGTTTCCGCGCCCTGCTCAGCGACCTCACCCCGGAGCAACTCGCCCGTCCCGCCACACCGCCCAACCCGGAAAACTCCTTCCCAGGCCTCTCCCTCCTTGAACTCCTCGAACGCTCGGCTGGACACGAAACCAGCCATGCCCGCCAGATTGACCTCACTCGCCAGTTCGTCGCCGCCTTCCGCTCCCAGCAGCGCGCCCTGAACATCGCCGCCCTCGGCGACGGCGACCCGTCTCGCCTCTCAACCGAGGTCCGGGACATGCTGAACATGGCCGACTACGTCGTCGCCGAGGCCGAGGCCCTGGCCGCTGTCGGCCACCTCGTCCGCGGTGTGCGGCTGACCATGCACACAGGCAACCGCGAGGAGCTGGTCAACCGCGCCGCACGCGAGTCCCGCGAGGGCCTCTGGCCCATCGTCTGCATCATGGGCGATGCCCCCGACGACGAACCCCCACGGTTGCCATGGCCCGCCAACACGCCGACGCCATCGCCATCCACCGGGCGACAGAGTAGGCGGCCTCGAGAGAAAAACCCGTTCTTCCCGCGAAAGCGGAAATCCAGGTTCATACATCCGCGAAAATGAAAAGGCGACAAACTCGCCTTACCTTCCCATACCTCTTGTAATACAATCCATCAAGTGTTCCGGTTGGTCCCGGGTGAAGAACCTGAGGGAGGAACCATATGGTCCTGGCGGATGTCAACACCCTCGTCGACCTGGACAAGGGCCTGATCAGCCCCCGCATCTTCAGCGAGGAATCAATCTACCAGGAGGAGCTGGAGCAGATCTTCGCCCGCTGCTGGCTCTTCCTCTGCCACGAGACCCAGATCCCCAACCCCGGCGATTTCTTCACCACTTACATGGGCGAGGACCCCGTACTCGTCACACCCGCGACCGGCAAGGGAAAGTTAACGCCTTCCTGAACATCTGCCGCCACCGGGGCAACCGCCTCTGCCGCGCCGACGACGGCAACGCCGGAACCTTTATTTGCGCCTACCACGGTTGGGCCTACGGTGCCGATGGCAAACTGGCCGCCGTTCCCAACCTGCAGGACGCCTACTACAACGAGCTGGACCAGTCCCAGTGGGGCCTGACTCCGGTCGCCCAACTGGACACTTACAAGGGCCTCATCTTCGCCACCTTCGACCCGGCGGCGCCTCCGCTGCTGGACTACCTCGGCCCCATGGCCTGGTACCTCGACACCCTCTTTGACCGCCGCGAGGGCGGGGCCGAAGTCCTCAGTGGCGTCCACAAGTGGGTGGTCCCCTGCAACTGGAAGTTCCCGGCCGAGAACTTCGTCGGAGACGCCTACCACGTGCAGTGGTCCCACTTGGCCACTCTCCGAACCGGGTTCGGCATTACCCGCGGCACCACCCCCGGCGGCGGGAATGTCTCCCCCGGTAACGGCCACGGCATGATCGCTTATGCCGGCCACCACACCGCCGAGCCCCTGCAGATACTCGTGGACTACGAGGAGGACACCCGGGAGGAGTTTGAGGCGCGTCTCGGCCCTCGCGCCCGGATGCTGAACCCCATCGTGGGAACGGTGTTTCCCAACTTCTCAGTGATTAAGACCAACTCCCACTCCCTCCGCGTCTGGCACCCCAAGGGTCCCCACAGCATCGAGATCTGGGCCTGGACATTCACCGACTGCGCCGCTCCCCCCGAGGTGAAGGGGGCCCTCCGCAAGATTGCCGCATACGGATTCAGCCCCTCCGGGACCTTCGAGCAGGACGACATGGACAACTGGCAGAACTGCACCCTCACCAGCAGGGGAGTGGTGGCCCGCCGCCAGATGCTCAACTACCAGATGGGCCTCGGCCACGAGACCTGGAACCCGGACTACGATGCCCTCACCAGCCAGTACCGCTTCAGCGACAGCAACCAGCGCCAGTTCTACAGGCGCTGGAGCCAGCTGATGGCCGCCGAGTCCTGGGCCGACCTGTAGCGGAACGGATTTCCACTCAAACGACCAGATATGCCTGTAACGTAGGGTCATGTTTGAAACCCGCCCCGCCGCATTCTTCGAAGACGCTCACAATGGCATCCCCATCAATTCCCCATCACTTGAGAGCTACCGCCATTTTGTAGGGACAGTCCTTGCAGTTGCCCGCAAGCCTCATCCTGAGAATCCCAAAATCGTGATAATCCTGATTCAGACAATGACCTCGCAATCGTCCCTTTTGATACTCCTCTGCCGCCTTACCTTCCCATCCCTCTTGTAATACAATCCATCAAATACACTGATTGATTCCGGACGCCTACTCGCAGGGAGGAACGAAGCATGGTCCTGGCAGACGTCAACACGCTGGTCGACCTCGACAAGGGCCTGATCAGCCCCCGAATATTCAGCGAGGAATCCATATATCAGGAAGAGCTCGAGCAGATCTTCGCCCGTTGCTGGCTCTTCCTCTGCCACGAGACCCAGATCCCCAACCCGGGCGACTTCCTGACCACCTACATGGGCGAGGACCCGGTCCTGGTCACCCGCGACCGCCAGGGCAAAGTCAACGCCTTCCTGAACATCTGCCGCCACCGCGGCAACCGCCTGTGCCGCGCCGACGACGGCAACGCCGGCACCTTCATTTGCGCCTACCACGGCTGGGCCTACAACGCCGACGGCAAGCTAGCGGCCGTCCCCAATCTGCAGGACGCTTACTATAACGAGCTCGACCAGTCAAGTGGGGCCTCATACCGGTGGCCCAGCTCGACACCTACAAGGGCCTGGTATTCGCCACCTTCGACTCCACCGCACCGCCGCTGCTGGACTATCTCGGTCCCATGACCTGGTATCTCGACACCCTGTTCGACCGCCGTGAGGGTGGCGTCGAGGTCATCGGCGGCGTCCACAAGTGGGTCGTCCCCTGCAACTGGAAGATGCCCGCCGAGAATTTCATCGGCGACGCCTACCACGTCCAGTGGTCCCACTGTCCCCCATCAAGGCCGGATTCAGCGTCGGCGTCACCGCGTCGGCGGTCCCGGGCGGCGGCCCGGTCTCTCCCGGCAACGGCCACGGCATGATCACCGTCGCTGGAGACCAGACGGGCGCGCCGCTGCAGGTCATGAAGGACTATGAGGACGACACCCGCGCCGAGCTCGAGGCCCGCCTCGGTCCCCGCGCCAGGGAGCTGAACCCCGTCGTGGGCACCGTGTTTCCTAACTTCTCCCTCCTGCGAGGGCAGTTCCCACTCCTTCCGGGTCTGGCACCCCAAGGGCCGCACAGCATCGAGATCTGGTCCTGGGCCTTCGCCGACAAGGCCGCACCCCCGGAGGTGAAGGAAGCCGTCCGCAAAACTGCCATCTGGGGATTCAGCCCCTCCGGCACCTTCGAGCAGGACGACATGGACAACTGGCAGGAATGCACCCACACCAGCCGGGGAGTGGTCGCCCGCCGCCAGATGCTCAACTATCAGATGGGCCTCGGCCACGAGAACTACAACGAGTCCTACGAGGCCCTCACCAGCCAGTACCGCTACAGCGACAGCAACCAGCGCCAGTTCTACAAGCGCTGGAGCGAGCTAATGGCCGCCCGAAGCTGGGCTGAGCTGTAGCCAGCACCAATATTTGCCTGTATGGGCGCACTCCCGAGCAAGTCGAGGGACGTGCGCCGCTTCATTGGAAACTACCGGAGCAACCAGATATGACCCCCAATCCAACTGAAATCGCCGACTACGAATCCCAGGCCCGCGAGTTCATCGCAAAGAGCCGAGACTACCTTGCCCAGGGCGACCTGCACCAGGCCTCCGAAAAAGGCTGGGGAGCGGCCGCCCACATGGCCAAAGCCGTTGCCGTCGCCCAGGGCTGGACCTATGACACCCACGCGGATTTCTCCACTGTGCTGTACGAGGCGCGTCGACTGACGGGCAATGCCAGCTTGAGCGGTTTGAGAAGCATCGCAAACGAACTCCACTTCAACTATTACAAGCGCAAGATGCATTTGAATTCCGACGCAATCGGCGAGGATTTGGAGAGCATCTCTGAGATGCTGGACATTCTCCATCCACTGACGGGCCTCGAGACCTCACCGTAGGCTTGCCCGCGACATCAAGGTCGACTGGAGTTGATTCAGCAGCTACCGACTCGCTGGGCCGGAAATAACCGTTACCAGTAGCCCTTTGGAAACACCTGCATCAGGCAAGGAGGTTCCCATGGCATTGGCACCAATGGCCAGTCTGGTCGACACCCAGAACGGACTCCTTAACCCCAGCATCTTCAGCGACGAGGAAATCTACCAGCAGGAGCTCGAGCAGATCTTCGCCCGCTGCTGGCTCCTCCTCTGCCACGAGACCCAGATACCCAACCCCGGCGACTTCCTGACCACCTACATGGGCGAGGACCCCGTGCTCGTCGCCCGCGACCGCTCCGGCAAGGTCGGCGCCTTCCTGAACATCTGCCGCCACCGCGGCAACCGCCTCTGCCGTGCCGACTCCGGCAACACCGCCGCATTTATCTGCGCCTACCACGGCTGGGCCTACAGCAACGACGGCTCGCTGCAGGCCGTCCCCAACCTGCAGGACGCGTACTACAACGAGCTCGACCAGTCCAAGTGGGGCCTCACTCCCGTGGCCCAGCTCGACACCTACAAGGGACTGGTCTTCGCCACTTTCGACTCCAACGCGCCGCCCCTGCTGGACTACCTCGGCGACGCCGCCTGGTATCTGGACGTGTTCTTCGACCGCCGAGAGGGCGGGGTCGAGGTAATCGGCGGTATCCACAAGTGGACCATCCCCGCCAACTGGAAGATGCCCGCCGAGAACTTCTGCGGCGACGGCTACCACACCGGCTGGAGCCACCTGTCTGCCGTGACCACCGGCTTCGGCGGCGATTTCCGCTCCCGGCCCTCCCGCGAGGGCGCAGTGGTCTCGCCTGGCAACGGCCACTGCATTGTCGGAATAGGGCCCGACGACCCCTCCGACCCGGCGGTGCCGGAGATCCTGGCCTACGAGGACTCGATTCGCGACGAGGTCAACCAGCGTCTGGGCGAACGCCTGCGCCTGATCCGCCCCCACGCCGGCACCATCTTCCCCAACCTGTCCCTGCTACGCAGCATCGCCCGGACCTTTCGGCTCTGGCAACCAAAGGGGCCAGGCAAGACCGAAATCAACTCCGCCGTCTACGTCGACAAGGCCGCGCCACCGGAGGTCAAGGAGGCCTTCCGCATCACTGCCATCCGCACCTTCGGACCGTCCGGCGCCTTCGAGCAGGACGACATGGACAACTGGGAAGGCTGCAGCAAGTCCGGCCTCGGCGTGGTCTCCCGCCGCCATCAGCTCAACATCGGCATGGGACTCGGCCACGCCCGCTACGACGAGGACCTCCTAGGCGTGGCCAGCGACTACCGCCTCAGCGAAAACAACCACCGCGCCTTCTACGGCCGCTGGAGCCAGCTGATGGACTCCCAGGGCTGGCCCTCCTGACGCCGGCCCTCACCCCCAGATACATTGCCATCGGAGAATCCACTTATGCAGGACGAAATCATCAGCGAGGTTGAGCAGTTCATGTACCGGGAGGCCAGGCTGCTGGACTCTCGCCGGTTCGACGACTGGCTGGACCTGCTCACCGACGACGTGAAGTACTGGATGCCCCTCAGGTCCAATCGCTATCCCGCCAACAGCAAGGCCATCTCCATCCTCGACGGCTCCCGCTATGAGGAGGGCGAGATTTCCCGCGAAGACGAGCTCGCCATCATGGACGAGGACAAGGACTCGCTGACCCGCCGCATCCGCCGCCTCGACTCCGGCATGGCCTGGGCCGAAGATCCGCCCTCCCGCACCCGCCACTTCGTCTCCAACATCGAGGTGGAGCCGGGCCAGCGCGACTCCGAGCTGCGGGTCTACTCCAACTTCATCATGTACCGCACCCGGGGCGAGACCGAGGAGGATTTCTACGTCGGCAGCCGCGAGGACGTCCTCCGCCGCGAGAACGGCCAGCTCAGGGTCGCCTACCGCAAGGTGGTCCTCGACCAGACCGTCCTGCTAGCCAAAAACGTAAGCAACTTTTTCTGACTCCAGGGCAATAGCGTCTTAAACGCAGGAGGCCCAATAAGTCGTCTTTCCCGCCAAAGAACGTCACCCTCGCGGAAGCGGGGGCGGGAATCCAAACCCCCGTCTACCCTCGCACCCGGAACCGAAGGAGGGACTGCCACTCCCTCACCCATATCCACCGACATCAGACCAATTTTGTGTGCTGACAAATAAGACGCGATTGCCCCGGGAGTGAGTCTTCTCCCTTGCCAGCCTCTGCGGCGCTGTTGTATTATTATTCCGTATATATGTTCGAAAATAGCGTTCGCAAGACTTGGAGCAGAGGTGGTTTTTGGACGAAGGCCCTGCCCGTATGTGCTCCAAAGACAGTGGGAAAAGACCGGGTGGGACAGAATGGGACAATATGGGACGGGAATCGCGATTTTTGGCCAATTTGGGGAAACTACAGTTACGGGGGAATGCGAATTTGGGACAATGTGGGACAAAATGGGACAGCGGTGGGAAAATTCTGTCCCGTGGGGACATCGAATTGCCTTCCGCGAGTCCGACGCTCTCGGATGGCCGTACTCGATTCCTGCGCCGCCACGGAATCTCCCCAGCAAGAGGCGACAGCCCTGCATCGACAGGGCAATCGCGCCTTAAACGCCGGAGGCCCTATAAGTCGTTATTCCCGCGCCTGCGGGAATCCAAACCCCCGTCTACCCTCGCACCAGGAACTGAAGTGGGCACCGCCACTCCCATCTCCACCGCCATTCAGACCAATTTTGTGTGCTGAGAAATAAGACGCGATTGCCCTGCTTCTGACTCCGACCAAATTGCCCGCGTACCCCGCGTTTGGTACACTAGCCGCATACATACCCCACCGCTATGAAACCTACCCGTAGCAGGAGAACGCCGCGATGATCTACGAAGTCCGCACCTACACCCTTAAACCTGGTAGCGTGCCCACCTTCGAGGAGAACTTTGGCAAGGCGCTGCCCCACCGGCTCAATTACTCCCCCCTCGCCGCCTTCTGGCACACCGAGATCGGACCTCTCAACCAGGTCATCCACGTCTGGCCCTACGAGAGCCTCGACGAGCGCACCCGTATCCGCGCCGAAGCCGCCCAGGACCCCAACTGGCCGCCCGCCAACGACCCCGACATGTACGTCAAGATGGAGTCCGAGATCTTCATCCCCGCGCCGTTCATGCGCCCCCTGGGAGGAGACCAGGAGCTCGGCAACGTCTACGAGATGCGCTCCTACACCTACAAGACCGGCTCCATGGGCGAAGTCCTCAAGCGCTGGGAGGCCGCCGTACCCCACCGCGAAGAGTTCTCTCCCCTCGCCGCCGGCTGGCACACCGAGCTGGGCTCGCTGAACAAGTGGGTGCACATCTGGCCCTACAAGGACCTCGAGGAGCGCAACCGCATCCGCGAGGAGGCCATCAAGTCCCCGCACTGGCCGCCGCCCACCCGCGAGTTCCTGGTCGGCCAGGAGACCAAGATCATGGTACCGGCCGCCTTCTCCCCCACCCACTAGGCCGCAACGGTCTCGCGGCGCGAGACAAGCAGAAAGTTGTAGGGGCGTACTCCCGAGCGTGTCGAGGGACGTGCGCCCCTGATCTTAATATGGCCAAGCCCCCGCAAGGTCTGAGATGTCCGACCTGGATCGCCAACTGCACGACCTGGTCACCGCCAACCGCATCCTCGCCCGCGAGGACGTGGTCGACGCCTACGGCCACGTCAGCATCCGCCACCCCGACAACCCCGGCCGTTACTGGCTGTCTTGCTCCCGCGCCCCCGAGCTTGTCGATCTCGACGACTTGATGGAATACACCCTGGAGAACGAACCCATCGACCAGCAGGGCCGCGAGATGTACTCCGAGCGCCCCATCCACGGCGGCGTCTACGAGGCCCGCCCCGAAGTTATGGCCGTCGTGCACAACCACTCCCAGCCCGTCGTGCCTTTCGGCGTCACCGGCGCCCCCCTCCGGCCCATGTTCCACCTCGCCGCCCTGATCGGCGACGACATCCCAGTCTGGGACATCCGCGACAACTTCGGCGACACCAACCTGCTGGTGACCACCCTTCCTCAAGGCCGCGACCTCGCCGCCACCCTCGGCCCGCGCCGTGTAGCCCTGATGCGGGGCCACGGCTGCGTCGTCGCCGGCGGCTCCCTGAAGGAGGCAGTCATGGCCTCTGTCTACCTGCAGGTCAACGCCCGGCTGCTCCTGGAGTCCTTGAAGCTCGGCGACGTCACGTACCTGTCCCCGGGCGAAATCGCCGCCATGTCCGCAGGCCAGGTCCAGCCCCGCACCATGGCCCGAGCTTGGGAGTACTGGGCCACCCGCGCCGGCCGTGAGCCCTGACCGGAGGACCATGCTCAACGACGAACCCGAAATCCTCGAGGAAATCAGGGCCGCCAACCAGCGGTTCTACGATGCCTTCAACGAGCTCAGCATCGAGCGCATGGACGAGGTCTGGGAGGGCTCCGAACGTGCCATGTGCGTCCACCCCGGCTGGACCCCAATAGTCGGCTGGGACACTATTCGCGAGAGTTGGGTCCGCATCTTTCGACAACGCCAACCTGATGCACTTCAACGTCCGCTACCTGAACATAGTAGTCCAGGGAGAGTTTGGCTGCGTCACCTGCGTCGAGGGCATCACCAGCGTGGTCCAGGGTCGCGCCGCCAACTTCTCCACCTACGCCACCAACTTCTTCGCCCGCCACGCAGACGGTTGGAAGATGATCGGCCACCACGCCTCCCCCGGCGGCTAGCCCTCAGACCAACCTCACATTAGTCCCAACGCCACCCTCACCATCCTGCGTATCGCATCATCCAGGTCACTACCACCTCCACCAATCGTCGAGTCACTCCCGCAGGGCAATCGCGTCTTAAACGCTGGAGGCCCCATTAGGCGTCTTTCCCGCGCAGGCGGGAATCCAAACCCCCGGCTACCCTCGCACCCGGATCCGAAGGAGGCACTGCCACTCCCATCTCCACCGCCATTTAGACCAATTTTGTCTGCTGAGTAATAAGACGCGATTGCCCTGTTCACTTCCGCCTACACTAGCCATTCCCGAGAAAGCGGGAATTCACCGCCCAACAGCCCCTGGATTCCCCAGCACCCGACCAGTTCCTGATCTAAGTAACTCTGAGCCCCCACTTCGAATGGATCCGCAAAACAGTTTACGAATAGCGTAATTGCCTTGGTAAACCACTCCCGCGCACCCATTAATATTGATATAATATATTCCATAAACAATTGAGAACTGCGCCCACACGAGGAAATCATCATGGCTGCCGACCCCGTCATCCTCACCCGCACTCAGAAGAACCTCTGGAACGCCATCGTCTCCGAGGCCCTCGCCAACCTCAAGTACAACGCCTACGCCCAGCGCGCCATGCAGGAGGGCCACCCCGAGGTCGCCCAGATCTTCCAGGAAGTCGCCGGCGCCGAGATCATCCACGGCGTAAACCACCTGCGCGTCACCGGAGACATGGCCTCCACCGCCGAGAACCTCCGCAGCATCATGGAGGGAGAGGCCCAGGAAGCCGCCACCATTTACCCCATGATGATCCGCGAGGCCCTCGAAGAGGGAAACCAGGAGGCCGCCGACTCCTTCACCCTGGCCATGGAACGGGAGCGCCGCCACCTCGAGTCTTTCACCGAGGCCCTCAACGGCCTCGAGGCCAAGCTGGCCGCGCAGAACGGCACTTTCCGCCTAGCCCCCGCGCCCGAAATCCCGGTGATGCCCGCCAGCATTGCATCCGTCTCCCTTCCTCCGGTCCGCGACGGCTCATCGGAAGCCGCGGCCGCCGCCGACCGCGCTTTCGATCGCGAGACCTACAACACCGCCGCCGCAGAGGTCGACCGCGAGATCTGGCGCGTCGCCCGCCTCGGCCGCCTGCGCGAGGTGGTCTTCGGCGCCCAAGACGGCCTGCTCAGCACCGTCGCCCTCGTAACCAGCCTCGCCGTCGCCTTCGAGAGCCAGACCACCGTCGTCGTCGCCGGGTCCTCGCCGGCGCCCTGCCCGGCATGATCTCCATGGCCACCGGCGCCCTCCTCGGCTCCCGTGCCGAGCGCGACGTCCAGCGCGCCGAAATCGAGCGCGAGTCCCGCGAGCTCGACGCCAACCCCGCCGAAGAGCTGGCCGAGTTGGTGGTCCTGTACCAGCGCGAGGGAATGACCTTCCAGGAGCGCGGCAGATGGCCGACGAGATTTCCCAGGACCGCGACCTGTGGCTCAAGACCCTCGTGGAAAAGGAGCTGGGCATCAGCACCGAGGAGACCGCCAGCCCGGTCAAGGACGCCATGGTCATGGGCCTGGCCTTCATCACCGGCGCCGCCATCCCGCTCGTCCCCCACTTCTTCCTGACCGGCGACACCGCCATCGGCGTCTCAGTGGGAGGCACCCTCGCCGGCCTCTTCGCCCTGGGCCTGCTCAAGGGCCGCCTAGTCGAGCGCTCCCCGCTCCTCCAGGGCCTCGAAATCCTAGGCATAGGCACCATCTCCGCCGGAGTCGGCTACGCCCTAGGCGAACTAATCCCCCGCCTCTTCACCTAGCGGAACGGTCCTTGCCTTGTCCGACGGGATGTCATGACGGCTGTACGTTGACCCGAATAAACGGAAAACAGGAGTCCGCTATGGCTACTTCTGAATTGTTTGAGCATCCGCTGTCAGGTGAGATCATGGCCTACCAGCGGATGCAGGACGACTTGGAGCGCGAGTTCTTCGGTCGTTGGGTAATAATCCACGATTCCGAGAAGACCGGTGGAGACTACGAATCATACCGCGAGGCAGAGGCCGCCGCACGAGAATTGGGTCTGGATGTGCTGGCCTGTTTCATCCGGCAGGTTGGTGTGGACTCCGCCGTTTTCCTGTCGCTAGGAGAGTAACCGGCAGTCAGCATGGTCTAAGAGGGTGTGTGACAAAGTGCAATCAAGTTGGTTTGAGCCTTTTGAGCATCAGGTGGACCATCGCTATATGAACCCAGGTCTCACCGGTTTCTGGCAGTTCCTCGTAGTCCTTGCTGAGCCGTCGGCATCGGCTGAGCCAGGCCAGCGTCCGTTCAACCACCCATCTGCGAGGCAGCACCTCGAACTGGTGGCTGTCCGGTCTCCGGCGCACCACCTTCAGCAACCATCCTCCAGTCTCCCAAGCCCACGCCACCAGCCGACCGGCATAGGCCGCATCCGCCCAGATGACTTGGAGCCTGGGGAACCGGCCCAGCAGCTTGGCCAGCACCAGCCTGGCCCCGTCCCGGTCTTGGATGTTGGCGGCGTGAATCACCACGGCCAAGAGCAGCCCGGTGGTGTCCACTACGATGTGGCGCTTGCGCCCGGACACCTTTTTGCCGGCGTCGTAGCCGCGAGGCCCCCTTTTTCCGTGGTCCTCACCGATTGGCTGTCGATGATTGCCCCGCTGGGAGTGGCATCCCGTTCCTCGCTCTCCCGGACCATGGGACGCAGTGCGTCCAAAACCCGCTCCCAAGTGCCGTCCCTGCGCCATTTCCGGAAGTACCACCAGACCGTGCCCCAAGGAGGCAGGTCGTGGGGCATCATTCGCCAGGAAATACCGCCACGCAACACGTACAGGATGCCATTCACAACCTCCCGCAGGTGCACGGTTCGGGGATGTCCCCTGGGTGAAACCGGGGGCAACAGGGGTTCCAACAAGCCCCATTGGGCATCGGTCAAATCAGTGGGATACGCTCTTCGATCCATACTCCAAAGTTACAGACTACCCACAAACCACACCAAGCTGTTCCACTGCAAGTTTCGACAATTGTCACACACCCTCTAATACTCTATGTCCCCACGGCTCCTGCGCATTGCGGGGCCGGCAATCGAGGTCTCTGTCAACGGAAGGGTCGGAGTAGCACTCCTGGACACTGGCGCCTCAGTCTCCAGTCTCGACATCACCTTCGCCCAGGCACTTGAACTCCCCGTCTTGGGAACTCACCGCAGTACGGGAGCAACGGGCGGAGGAGAGTAACCCAATTTCGACGCATCCATCCTTATCCCAGTACTCGAAATCACTGTGCCATCGCCCGTTGGAGGGCTGCCTCTGAGAGCGCATGGCCATCCTTGGGACGCAATAGTTGGCCGGGACATCCTTTGCCAGTACGAATTCACAGTGAATGGAGAAACAGGCCTGATACGTTTCACCAAGATAAATTCACAATAAGCACCCTCGTGCAGCACCTCCTCCAAGGCCTCGAAATCCTAGGCATCGGCACCATCTCCGCCGGAGTCGGCTACGCCCTAGGCGAGCTGATCCCCCGCCTCTTCACCTAGGACGTCACTCATATTCCCCTTTTCTTGTTGGAGATGATGGGTCTTGAAGTGATGGCTGTTAATTATCCTGAGTTCTCATTCGAAAACGTAAGTCCGAGGCCGGTTTTCAGGCGGTCATGAAACTTCGTACAGTAGCCGCTTTACTTTTAGTTCTCGCCTTCCTATGCCGCTTGCCTCGTACCAGTGAACCTCCGAACGCACGACAATTCCATCCGGCAGTCTGATGAGTGCGAACCCTTTCATCTTTCGACACTGGCGTCGGCGGTGCTCCTCCTATTGCTCTGCTAGGCGACGGCGTTCCCGAACATAGGTGCCTCTGGCGATAGTTTCGATTTGCTCTATTTCGCTGATGATATCCGGATGGGTCATATGGGGCCCTGGTACGGTACTGAGAATGAAAAAATTTAGGCCGGAATCCCCTCTATCGGAGTTCCGGCCCTAGCACCTGCGTCGAACTCATTCCACTTTCAATTAAGAGGGTGTTCGGAACTCCCGTCCCGGTTCCTCTTCAGGAACTTCGGCAGGGACAAAGTAGGCCGCAGGATAAAGGTAGTCCTCCCCTGATTCGTCGATAACCTGAATCAGATTGTGCTTGGCAGCATCATCATCTGGTATGGTTTCGTAGACAGCATCCAGAACTAGCAAAACAGGGTAGCCTTCGATGTTGATGCAGGTAACACGCTCTGTGCTCATTGTTCAATTCCATCAACCTGGGACGCACCCACCGGCTGTCAAGGACTCATTGACTTCTATCTGGAACCATACCACATCGGCATCAGCACCCCCTCCGCCCACACAGGCTACGCCCTAGGCGAGCTGATCCCCCGCCTCTTCACCTAGCAGACCGTCGTTACGGCGATTGAAACCCGATGGCAGCGCCCCGTCTGGTTGATGTCACAACCTGGGTTGAGCTATGTTGGCCACATGAACCTGCTATGGCAGCCCCTGAGCCTCGTCGCGTTGGGCATTGCAGCATACATCGGACTGATATTGCCCGACATCGACCAGCGCGTCGGCTTCCTGCTCCACCGCTCAATCATCACCCACGGCCCACTGTTTCCCCTAGCGGCATTTATTTTGGCTCAGGCCGACAATCCATTGCCGCGTCGATTCGGCATGGGGATAGGACTGGGATATGCAGTTCACATGGCATTCGACCTTTTCCCCAGATCGTGGCAGGGATACGCCCTGATCAGCATCCCAGGCTATGGATGGATTCCCCTAGGGGCGGAGCGGCGTCTCTGGTGGGAGCGGCGCGCCCGATCGTTGCGTAGCTGCGTATCCTCCAGCCACAGCAGCAAACTCCTCCGGTCCGAACGCGTTCCCGGGGCAGCATTTCCCGCACCACCCGGTACACCTGGGGACGGGTGATCCGGGGCATCTTTTTCCCCCCAGTCCTGCTGCAGGCCCAGCAGGAACGCTCCACCCAGCAGGCACATGGCTATGTGGTGATGCCAGCCGGACCAGCTACGGGTCTCGTATTCGTCCAGGCCCACGTCGCCCTTTCCGTCTCGAACTCCGTTTCAATGGGCCACCTGGAACCGCCCACATAGGCCAAGGTCTCCAGGGGAGTATCCTCGGCAGCGTTGGACAGGTAGTAGCGAGGCTCGCTGCCGTCCAGGTTTCGGCGGTAGACGGCCCATGCTCCTGGCCCGGCTTGCCCTTCCGGTTACCCGCACCCGCTGGGCGCTGAACATATAGCTCCGCGGTCCCTGGCATTCCCTGGGCCACCGTTATCTCCCGCCAAGCCTTATCCGGCAACTCGCCACTGCGCTGCTCATGGTACGACGCTGCCCGTCCCTGAGCCTGGGCTTGCGGGGGCGCCGGACCCTGAGACCCCGGACTGGTCCAAGCCAACTCCAGGGGCCAGACCGGAGTGCTGCCCCGGAACGTCCAGCACGTAGCGCATCCCCAGGCCCGCCAGGGGACTCCCGAAAGGACGGCGACATCCCGAAGGCGTCGTCCCCGGCAACCCATCCGGCCTTGAGGTGGCCCAACCCCAGGGCCCGCTCCAGCAGCTCCAAGGCCAACTCCGTCTTCGACCGGTAGCTCAGCCGCTCCTCGGGCACACCCGCCGCCCGCACACCGGGTCTGGTCGGAGATCCAACTCTCGGGCAGATACGCCCCTGTCCACCAATGCCTGTCCCAGCGGGCTGACGTAGGCCAGGAACATCCCCGCCTGGCAGTTGGCCACCTTCCCCAGCCTGCCGCAGTACTGCCGGGCTACCCCCACCGACTTCCGTCCCTGCTTGGGAAAGTCGCTGCCGTCCAACACCCACACCGCCTCGGGGTGAGCCAGCCTGGGGGCCAGGTATTCCTGCAGCCGACCGATGACCGCGGCATCGTCCCACCGGGCCTCGGTCAGAAAACGCTGCATCGCCGGGCCGAGATGCCCACCGATTCCGACAGGTTACTACGGCGTTGCGCCGCTCCCAGCCTGCACCAGCAGCCCCTGAAGATAGTTCCGGCTGTGCTCCCGCCACTGCTTGCGGCGAAGGAGGCGCGAAGAAGGCGTGGAAAAGTCCTGAAAGTTGTCGTAAACACCCGCTCGAACACTCGCCCCATACCATCACCCAACCACCCACTATCATCTTGACAACTATCCTACCAAACAACCCGTCGTTGTAGTACTAGTACTACAACGACGGTTCAGGGTGGAGGCTCCATTCTGCCTTCACAGCGGGCGGAGCGGCGTCTCTCGTGGGAGCGGCGAGCCCGTTCGTTGCGTAGCTGCGTATCCTCCAGCCACAACAGCAATTGATCGGGCCCGAACTGCTCCCGGGGTAGCATCTCACGCACCACCCGGTACACCTGCGGGCTCGTGATCCGGGGCATTTTTTCCCCCCAATCCTGCTGCAGGCCCAGCAGGAACGCTCCTCCCAGCAGGCACATGGCTATGTGGTGATGCCACCCTGCCCAGCTGCGGGTCTCGTATTCGTCCAGCCCCACGTCGCCCTTCTCAGTCTCGAACTCCGTTTCAATGCGCCACCTAGACCCACCCACGTAGGCCAGAGTCTCCAAGGTTGTGTCCTCAGGAGCGTTGGACAGGTAGTAGCGAGGCTCGCTGCCCCGTCCAGGTTCCGCGCGCCAGACGGCCCACAGTTCCTCGCCGGGGCTTGCCCTCCTGGTGCCCGCACCCGCTTGGCACTGACCCGTAGGTGCGCGGCCCCTTGGCTTCCCTGGGCCAGCCACGTTATCCTCCCGCCAATCCTCATCCGGCAGCTTCATCACCAAGCTGCTCAATGGCCCGGCGCTGCCCATC